GTTCGTCATCTATTTGCGCTGAATGCTTAATTCACCCAGATCTTTGTGCCAACGTACTTTCACGATAACCTCGTTCCAATCCCATGCTGACGCGGTGAAGTGATTCCGTACGTCTGTACCCTGGACACCCCAAACACAACGAAACGCTGAATGAAAGCATGGCCAGGCACCAGACTATATTCCGTACCTGCTGTGCGAGATTTTCAACATTAACGATCCAGTACTAGGGTGGGAGGAGCAGCTGTAGTGGGAGCATACTCCTCGACGCCATGGAGACGAGGCTGCTTTCGCGATAGATTTATTTATCTGTTTACTCTCGTCGCCTTGGGAACGGTCGCCATAACAAAATGCCATTCCCATAACACACGTAGCTGAACTGAATTATTAGGGATGATCATGAAATGAGCAAGAGAGACCTTTGCTCCTGGTTTCGAAGCCATTCTCGAGATCTTCTTGACATCTACTGGACTAAAACGGAGCTAAAATTAGCTTGGCCTGGGTAGGGATATTTAAAGGCAATCAACCAACGGAAGTTGCTTGATTAAAATTGATCACGATTATAGTGTTGCCACGCCAAAATTGTTCATTAATCTCGGAGTAGTGTCATCGTCTCTATTCAAGTGAAGGGGCGTCATTGTTTCGGCAACCCCATTCGGAACAACCCTGTCTCCAGGCTGAATTTTAATGGCTAAAATGACCAAATTTTTGTGCCGAGCCTTGATGAGTTTTCGGCTGATTTCGGCTCTTTTTGCCACCCCCAAAAAGATCTCTTTAAAAAAACCCAAAAATTAAGCTTATATTTCTCTGGAAATCTGCCTTTCCCTTTGATGAAAGATGACAGAAACAAATCTTGCAACTGAGCCACAATGACGTCACACTTTGTTCACATGACGTGCGTTTTCCGACTTTCCCGATCGTTCCCACAAATGGCTCCGGGTAGGAAAGCGTGACGTCATTATGTCGCAGGTATACTTTTGTTGTGCTTATTGAAAGTACAATTGTGGGCCCGATCTGAGGTTTGTGTTTAAAGCCGTAATGGCTTACCGTCAAAATGAAATAATCTTCTTCTTTTTTCATTGGAGATGGTGCGCAAGATTGTGGGTTCGTAACAAGGCATACTCATTATCCAATTCTTCGATTAATTTGTTGTTAGACATCTTGCGTCCAGAGGGCAAGTCTGGTGCTCTCTTGCTACTTATCTCACTGACTGACTGACTGACTGACTCCCCGACTGACTGATTTTCACTTGTTAGCCGGGCAGTCCTTTCGTATATGATTACCCCGTAACTGCGAATGGGTCAATCCAGCCCATGCATTGTGTAGTAGATCAGATGCATTGAAAGAATCAGATTATATATATAGCCACTCTGAATCGATTGGGACCAACTGAACTAGTCCTGTCTAATTTTGTCTCGCAAATACACCTGCCACAAAAATAAACTGACCAGTTTTTATAATCGTCCTTGTTTGGACATTTCTCTGTGAACAAAAAAATTAAACTAAAAGTTGCACTTAGCGAGATTTTCAGTGGACATTGCAACACACAATGCAACGATGCAGCCCCCCATTAAATTTTGTGTGCAACGCCCATTGAAAATCTCGCTAAGTGCAACTTTTAGTTTTGGGGTTTCAGGAGCTTCAGTGTTTGCGCTCTCGTTATTTCTTACACAGTGTTCCCAAGTAAGGTATCAAATTAAACCGAAAAGTTTCCGTAACAAAAAGTATATTCCGGATTGTTTTGTTCACTGAGAAATGTCCAAACAAGGATTACTATAAAACCTGTTATTAGTTTCTTTTTTGTGCCAGGTGTGCATGTACCGTCCTGTCTAATACTATATACGATAGGCTATAGTTGGTTATCGGTGCATTCACGTCAGTTTGAACGATAAGCACTTGATGAGTTCCAATACCAATAGAATAAGTTACTAATTATCCCATTATGCATACTTTCATTTTAATGTTTGTCAGGTTTTCTGGCATGCAACGAGACCTCGGCCGGCCTATGCAAGAAAACTTTTTTTCCCATTTCGGGCGAATTTGGATCCTTCTGGGGGGGGGGGGGTCGGAAATTTTATTTTGTTTGCTTTTGGCAAAAAACAGATCTGTCCCGTGCGAGTCGACTGGTTTCGGCCTCTCGAGTATTGACCATTTTAGGGGCGGGAACCAATCTACCCGCAAGAACCGTCGGGCAGAATTTCGGCATTAAAGAATATAGGCCTATTCATTTTTCGTGGTAAAACTCAAGAATAACATAGAAAGTACATGTACATCTTTAAAATCCCTCCATGTCTTCGTTTCTTATGATCGGACACGTTTGCTAATAATTGTGTGTTTCAATTGAAGGAATTACCAAATACCATGAAAGACATATTTGTGTGTGTTTACGGCCGTCGCCACGTGAACATTCGCCATAACAAGCGCAGTTTCCACATCAACTATACAAATGAATGTACCAGACACTGCAGGAGGGGGGTTAACCTTTGCACCTTTTGACGCATTTATCAAGCTATCGCACCTTCGGTATTTGTCATGAACACTGAACACAGCAAAAGCGGTTCTTGCCTGTTTTTTTTTTTTTTTAGTAAACAGACAAACCCACCAAATTGAAATTAATAGCGTTTGTGTAAATGCCCAATGAAAGCTTGTACAAATTAAAAACATCGTGACGATAGCAACAGAGTACTTTAGTAAAGGGTAAATGGTTCCTCAGACGGCCCATGGATTAGTTTGTTTATTTGTGTTTATTTCAATTGTTTACTAGTGACGGTGATCATGGAAACCCAGCTTCGAGTCTCGTTTAGTTTTTAGGTACTATTTCAGCCACCATGGACCGATGACTGAACGCCAAGAAAAAATACATCAGTGAAGTGCGAGAATAAATTAATACCCGGCGAAGAAACACCATACAAAGCTGACTTTACGTTTAAAATGATTTCTAAAGTTTTAGATCATCGAACATATTGGTTTTTTTTTTATCGTATGTGTGTGTGTTTTTTCAAACATGTTTTTATAATGTGCATTCCTGGTGGTGTAATGTGTATAAGGTGAAACATGATATGTTAGGGGGCTCGTTAAACAACATGCACTTACACAATCATCGAGGGTCGATACAAATTGTCATTGGTCAATTTAACTGTCTTATTTTGTTTTCGATCTTGCCTAGCTTTTCGAATCACTTGTTAACGAAAAAATAGGCATTTTTGGGATCAAGGAATCAAGGGCGGATCCAGGAGGAGAAGGGGGCCAACGGGGGCCATCCCCCCCCCCCCCTCCGAAAAAAAAAGAACCCAATTGTTTTGTTTTTTTAAAGTGACGTCAAAAAGGGCAGGCACTGCGTACGCCAATTAAAATACTTCGTTAAAGTGACCAGAAATTGCCCCAGATCGCACCACAGCATCCAGAATCCATTTTTTTTCGGGCTCTCGCCCTAATTTTGTTGACCTACTTTTTGAGGGACCAACATCCCCCCGAAGAAAATGTTCTTTTTTTTTTGGATACGCCCTTGCATGGAATAATATCTTGAGTGAAATAAGATGGGTGGTTCTTAAAAGAAAAAAAAACCGTATAGAGAAGAATGTTCTCAACATTTGGGATGGTATATTTATGTCCATCTTAAGACGGAGCTAGTTTTTTTTCCGAAACCTCAAAAACACGTCTTACCACTGTTTTGTTTTGTTTTTCAGAACCACACTTCTTCACCAAAAAAATGTTGATATGTGAACCCGCAATTTAACATTTTAAATGTTGTACCATTCCACAATGCTAAATTTCAAATCAGATTTTGTCTATTCTCTAGTTTTGTTGATTTTATTACTAATAAGTCGGGATCAAATCTAGCACCACCCAAAAAAAACCAGTAGAAACCAGTGAAGACCGTTACTGCCCTAACTGATAAAAATACGATCCGATTGCACATCAGTTTTTCCAATGGTAAAGATTACTCATTATTGACCCTCCTACCCGTTGCGTACATATTAGAAATATCAATCAACTTTGTTAATGAGTAAAGAAAAATACCGGTAGGGGTGACTGGCCCGTCGTGGCAGATTCCGTTGAATTCTCCGCCTCATATAAAAACAGAAGATTACCGTTTGTTGAAAAAGTGTAGAATCATAATGAACCGAAAGCGCAGTAGCAGAATTTTCTAAATGAACTTCATTAGTTTTGTACACAAGCCGCAACAGCAACACCGGTGCTCTTTTAATATTCCAGTCTGTCATAAATATGTTATCATTATATATTGCTTTTTTTAATTAGAATTAGAAAACCACAAGAGTCTGTCAAATATTATGCCATAATCATGGCACAGGGCATGTGCGAAATATTCATTTCTCAATTTTGGTCTAGGAAAATTGCTAATGTCTTTTATTTTTTAGTCCGTAAAAATTCTGTAGAAAATCAACAACAAAAAGCAAGCAGGAGTTTAAACTCTCATCTTCTTACAAGTAGTTGATATAATTATCATCTATACAACATTTCAAATAAATTTCTCTTTGAATTATCCAGATATCGGGTTTTCTGCACAACCTGTTTTGCATACACCGTTCCGGTGCAGTTTTTATTCTAGTGCCTTCGTACGTGTAAATGATTAACTTCGTGTTATAATGTTATGGGTGAGTGTGCTGCAGCGCTGCGTACAAGGTTCGATCGTTTGGGTACACAGATGGTCAAGCTTGAAAATTAACTTCGAAAGTTAAACAATAAAATGTAATGTGTGGTTACCTCAGCAACACCCACATCAGAGTATTTCATGCTTTTGCGTAGGCCTTATCTAGCTATTTTTGTTTAGGGTGTGGTGTACATACCAACCGACCCGTTTTTTCCAAGTCCCGTTCTGTCTGCATATTATTTTCATCGAATCCGTTCAAAAGCGTGCATTTTTGCCGCGAACACATTTGCAAATTTGGCACTGTGGAAGAAAGACGGTGAGAGACGCGCTGCTGGGAATATTCAGGTTCGATAGTGAGCTGAGGACTGCAGGCGTAAAAACGAGAACCATGATGGGGCTCAAACGAGGACTGTGCGCCATGATGCTATTGGCGCTATGTATAATGTCTGTTCAAGGGACAGGTAAGATATAATTCAACTGTAAACCGTGTCTACCCCCTAAGTAACACTATTAGGAAAAATCTGCTCCTGCAGAAGACTAGTTCATCCATTTTCACCTCTTCCCCTTTCTTCCCCGCCTGGCTTCTCGCTTGATTTCGCACACCAAATCTCTGGTTTGTTTTGGGGAAAAAAGCCTAAGAAAACCCATTAGCAGGGGCGTAATCCCGGGGGATGGGGGTATATATATCCCCCCCCCCCCCAATGTTGACCGGGGGGGGGAGGGCTATTGAATCATCCCCCACTTTTTCGCGATGAGAAAAAAAATGCGGATTTTGAGGTATAACAACCAAAGTGTATTCAATAGCACTGAAAAGTGGAGAAACAAAGTATATACCAGCTTTTAAAATGCGCCGTTTTGATGTATTAAAGTGCGAGTATACTCATTGATATACATCTATATTCTGAACTAGTGCCTCCTAGTGTAATGTGCCCCCCCCCCCCCACCCGTTTTTCGAATTTCCACGGCCGGGCACTTTTTGGGATTTGGTCATCCCCCATCCCCACCCCACACGCCGGCACAGATTTACGCCTCTGCTAATAAGAAAGCTCAACGGTGTCAATCCGTGAAACTCTATTTCTGAAAAAAAAAAGTTTCCCAAAAATATTAAAGGTACAGTATTATCATTTGTCATTTATGATTTTTTGTTTTCGTTTGAAGCAACAAAAGTGCTCAAAATCTAAAGAAGGTGCATGCTTAACAACTAACCTAATGAAGTTTTAGCTTACTGAATGCTGTACATTCCGAGAAAATCTGACAAAAAGTTGCCGAGTCATGTTTTGAATTGCGTCCCAAATCAGCGTCCAGCTCAGGCGATTGCGGCTATATACGATGTGTCACGCATTAAACCGACGAATTATAGCAATCGCGCGCGTGTGCGTCGTGTCAACGCTTTTTCACGTACCCATTCACGGCTACGCCGATTAAAAACGAACTACTGACAGAAATTTCCAAAGATGCGTCTAGAGACGCATCTTTGGAAATTACCTCCTTTTTATTGTTTCCTTCAAAATGACAGCATGCTAGAAAGAATAATTTCACAGGGAGTTTATTGTCATTACTATCTTAAAACCAAGTAAGCTGTTTAACAATGATTTCGTCAGTTACTTTTTGGATAGCTGCAAATTGTATACTCTACCTTTAAAATTAGTAAATCAGCGCGGCTATCTCCACTCTTTTAGAGTTAAAACATGTGTTTGTTTTCACGAACTCAGTTTGTATGTTTTATAACTGAATTTTCTCTGTCCCTATCTATACCTTGTGCGTTATGGAGAGTTGGAGACGTAATTTTTCCCGCGTTTTTTTTCATTCGGTGGCTTTTTAAAAGTACATTTAAATGTTTGAAGTGATCGAAATATTTTTTTCGAGGTAGGCCTAAAGTTCGAAACTTAGCACGAGAGCATTTGCAAATTTGACGGCGTTTGTCGCGGACCAAAAGGAGATTCATGGCGAATTTAGAAATAACGTCTGTCACGGTCGTAATTATATGTGCGTATCCAGTGACACGATCGATTGCCGGTGAACTTGCTTGTCGTTTGTTTTTTTCAAGGTGTCTTACACAAAGGCAGCAAAGTATACATAGTGAATAAAAAGAAAGGAAACCCAAATCACATTCTCTCTTTTTTTTTTTTTAAACAAGTTAGTTCTGCACGTAGCGCGTTTAAGATCTAGGATGTGAAAGTCTAATTAATAAGCTTTCTTTTAGTTAACCCTAAAAGGGCCGGGGCAGAATCCCGCCCCTCTCGACTTTTTTCCGCGATAGCCTTTAAACAATTTTTTTTGCGACCCGAGCTGTTATGACTTATTAGCCTCGAGCCTTGCGCATCTTTTGACACCAAAAACATAAAAATCAGACCACGGGTTGTCGCGCCGTGAAAACTGAATTTTCCCATTATACGTCGTGTACACAGACCAGAATTACATTCGTACATTAATTAATTAGCCATAATTCCAAAACCCTTTGACCTATATTCATGAAATTTCTTGGGTAGGCCTATGTTCATGATGAGTTGCTCTATACATGTACCGAGTTTCAAAATTTTTCGTCACTCGATGGCCGAGATCTTACGGGGGGGGGGGGGGGTGGGGGGGGGGGGCGGAATCCCCCCCCCCCCCGGCTGAGAGATGGTCAAAATAACCCGGCCCTTTTAGGGTTAAAGAATCATTCAAATCACTCACGTACTTTTGCAGAAATTGCAGTTATGGAATTATAAACACAAACACAATATTAATTTAAATTTTAACCTTGTCCACGGATCACAATAAAGGTACAATGTAAGTGATATTTCAGCAAGACAAAAACTATTTACACATCAAAATACACATCATAGCACTCTCACAACCATCTGGCACTTGATATCACAACATAATATTTAAACCATGCTTCTTCCAGTGTTGAAATAATAACATGCTTTACAATGTCAAGAGTTTAAAGTCTTACCCTGCCTTCTACTTGGCTACCCCAGAGACGTGTGGGATTATTCTGATAAAATGTTCAGGATACGACATGGATTCATTTTGACTGAAATATCAAGTACCTTCAGTAACATGTGACCCGTTGACAAGGTTAAAAAAAACCCCGGTATTTAGGCCTATGCTTGTGATTGGAAAAGGGCATGATCTATGAGCGATTTAAATGATTCTTGCACTAGAAAAGCTTGTTAATTGGGCTTTTATCCTAGATACAGAAAACGCTACATGCAAATCTTAAAAAAAAAAAAATAATAATAATAATAGGGGGCACCATTTTGGTTTCCTTCTTCTTTTACTCACCCTGCACGCGTGCGATATCTTCTGCTGTACTCGTTTATAGCACTTGGCACGGTATGTGTGTATTAGGCGAAGTAAAAAAAAAAACATGTTTAGCGTCCCCGCCCGCTTCCTTTTTAGAGGCCGCCCCCTTTTTTTTTTTTTTTTTTTTTTTTAAAGACAAAAATTGATAAATTTTAATGATCTCTAAAGAAAGAAATCGTATTTGTAGACTTTTATACCGTGTATAAAGCTGTGGAAATAGTCAATGAGTCCAAGTGAATTTTTTATTTAGGATATCTAAAAATTGAAAACTGAATATAATTTGTCTTTTACCTCGTCAAACCAAAGTTTGATTAGTGTCGGACAAGCCATGATGTGAACGGTCCCACGCTGTGCCGTACAGCGTTGCGCTTGATCTCATGGCCTGATGAACAGGGGTAATAATTGTGAAGCGCTTTGAGACCTTTGGTATAAAGCGCTATATAAGCGCTATATTATTATACTATTATCCACCTTTGCCATGCATAATTTATGTACAATTTAAAATAGCTTTGAAACCGGCTCTCACTCAGTGCCAAAGCCATTGTATGAATTCGGTACCTTTTAAAATTTTATTTTAAATCCTCTCCGACAAAACACAGCACCGATCAGGCCCTCCATCAGTTGCAGTGCCAAATTAAAATCTCCCCATTAAAGGCTAATTTTTGTCATGCAGTGCTGGATATGCACCTTGTGTCGATGTCCCATCATTGACTGAATCTTCCATTTTTTTGTTGCCATTTTCGTGAGTCACGGTTTCGGTTTTTATATTTCGGCCAGTGCGAATTTCTATTCGTGAGCAAAACCGGATATCAACTAGTATATAGGGAACACAGAAATGGTTGGGTCAAAAAAACAATAAGTCAATAAGTCTGCGGTTTCTGGTATGGAGCTTGCCCAAAAGTGGTGCGGCGACGCGGCTTTTTTTTTTTTTACCCGATTTTTTTTGCTTCAAATGTCGGCTGATGACTGCAAATGGTGGCCGACTAAACTTTAGCGCAAATATATGGGAGTCCAGAGAGGCCACATAAAGCTTATTCTCGATCGTCACCCCAGCCATCTAAAAACACGTTAAAATCGTGCAGCAGCAGGATTCCAGTCAAATCAGTAAGTTGGCGGTTTTGAGACATCATCTTTCATTGGAAAAAAAAACTTTTTCATTTTGCCGACGCGCATGGCCACGGCGACGCGCGCGCATACCAGAAACCGGAGACTTTTTTTTTGGCCTTATAATGCGTGCGGGAATCGTGGCCGGGAACTATGTATATTTCACTATAGTCGAGATGTAATTATACACATCTCAACATAATGTGCATTTACAGTGACATTTTTGATCTTCGGTTCAAGGTTTTGATGTGACACATCAACGAGGTACAAGGGCGGACATAGCTTTCAGGAAACGGGTGGGGTTGACCCGGATGATGGGGGGGGGGGGGGGGGGTTGAGTAAAGGCGCCGCACACCGTGACCCTGCTGGTGGCATTTTAAAATTTACATTTCCTTTTTCGGTATTCTAAGGTAACTTGAGAATAAATTTAGAAACTTAGCATTCCAATGTATCGGGTTGGAGTCCTAACTGGCAAGGGTGGGGGGGGGGGGGGGGGGGGGGGGGGTTGCAACACCCTCTCTCCGATATTCGCCACTGTTCCGAGGGTGGTTTACTGAACAGAACGTCATCGATTTTCCCAGTTTGTGGAAGGGTTTTCTTATTATATAGATAGGTGAAGACATGTTAAGGTCAGTGAATCGAATTCAATCAATTTTGTTCAATTTGGGATCGCCAGTTATTATAATTCAGATGATTATAATTCTTAAGTGGAATTATGTTCTTCTAAAGTGTGTAGTTGAAAAGCGTTTTCTTATTTTGACAACCAAGCCTTTAAGTTGCTACCCACCCCGGTGCAGTTTTGGAGTTCCGCGCGAAAGAAAACAATCAATTTTTTTTTTTTAAATCACTGACATCCAAAAATTAGACATCGAACAAAAAAAAAGCCTCCACGTTTATATTCTTTGAATGTTGAATTTGCAAATTTCTTGAGTAAAGCAGAGGGCGGGAAATGGCATCACGAAGTAAGCTGCATTTTCCTATTACCCACTCCGTGAGTGATAATAAGTGGAAATTTAAGTGTCGACGCACATAAGCCCAGGCTAGTCCAATTAAGTCAGTTTACATACATGTACGAAATCCGGATAGCGTTTGTTAAGGAAGAAACTTCTTTGGATAAACTTCATTAAATGTCAACAATTTGTATAATTGGACTCAAAAAGCCTAGCCTTGTTGAAGAAAAATAAAACGGTTTTTCCAAAAGTGACTTAATTTGGCTGAATTCGGACCTTCGGAGAGAAAAAAATGAGACTAGCTTTTATACCCCCCCCCCCATTAAATATACGCTGGGATATGTCTATGCTTAAGTTTGTTTCAAGTAATAATAACGTGGGATCTGTCTAGTGGCTCATGATGTAATTCAATGAACATGTTAAAAAAAAAATCATCGGAAATGTAATTTGGACGATATTGTATGCAACTTAGCAAGAGTCAAGTTAGGCCTACTCAAGTTGCATTAGGCTCGTGTGAAATTCTGACAATATCCTCGTCAATTTCTTAAACTGCATAAATGTGAACCAACTTACAAACTTTTACTGCTCGTAATATGAAATTAGTGTAAAAGTTTATGGAATTCGCTAACGTAATGTTTCCGACGGTAGTCGTCTGCTGTTTTGCGCATGAAGCGTTACAGACGAATCGAGAAAGTGTGCCCTCCATTGTTCTAGCGGCGCTACGAAGGCAGCGCAGGGAGCCGGAGCTAGCTGAGAGCGCTATTAATTTTTGCTTCCATAATTCCACTCAGTGATGTTCCAATGTGACAGAAGGTGATTGTGTGTTTTGTCTTGAAGTTGTTTTGCAACTAGTTTTAGGTCAATACGTATATTGGAGGCGCGCTATATTTTGGTGTAACTGCTGTGCTGCACTCCAGTAGTGTTATGTCACTTCTAGCCCCATAAATGTGGCCTATTTACTGGACTGCCTCCGTAAACATAGGCCACACATCCACATGTACAAAAATCGTGTCGACGGAGCCAAATTTTGATTTTCACATTTAGGCTTAGTTTGTAGTTTTTTTTTGCTTTAGAAGCATACTCACCCTCTTTATAGGCTAATCAGAAAGTGCTGCCTTTTTCAGATGTATATTTTTCGTGAAATTTCCAGATTCATTTTTACACGTTTGCGTATCAAAATTTCAACATGAAATTTCACAAAAATTAGACATCTGAAAAAGGCAGCACTTTCTGATTAGCCTGTAAAGAGGGTGAGTATGCTTCTAAAGCAAAAAACCCCTACAAACTAAGCCTAAATGTGAAAATCAAAATTTGGCTCCGTCGACACGATTTTTGTACATGTGGATGTGTGGCCTATGTTTACGGAGGCAGTCCAGTAAATAGGCCACATTTATGGGGCTATGTCACTTCATGACTTGTGTTCCTTCCGTCCTCCGCGTGAGCGTCAACTCAGACATAGTTCTGGGACTGACACGGCGGGGCTCTGGAGTTCCCTGAAACGTGCAAAACTAAATCAGGCCCACTTTACCATGTTTACTCACAGTTTAGCCAGCAAATTTCTCCAAAAATTCCACTGCCTGGGGCAAACAAAATGTTCTCAGTATTTCACCAACCAAGTTTGCAGACTCAATTCAATTATTAATAAAGGAGACTTTTCTTCATTAAGGGAAGTCAAGTGATTCCAAAATGGGGCTGAAGACTAGACTGGTACATCATACATGTCCAACTATGGTCCAACTATTTGGATAGACTGACCTCTTCATAAATGTGTACTAAATTGAGACTATTTCCGCGCTTCATGCCACATGTTTCTTAAATTCTTATTAATTGATGCAGTTTTGGGACTCTCATACACAGTATTGAGAGTCCCAAATTTTCGGACTAGTTCTGGGAGTAGTTAAATTTCCGATCGTGTTTAATGTTTGAACGATGCGATTTCTTCTACATGCCCAGCGTACATTCGATGGTCCCCGTATCCCGTGTGCGATTCCGTTACCGAGCGCGCGCGATGCATCGATTATGATAATGAGTACACTGGATCACGTTTGTAAACACATGTGCATTTCAAACGATAATAGGGAGTCGGGAACTAGCGCAGCTTTTATGGCGGGTACCAGTTCAAGCTGGTTCCCGATTCCCTTTTACAGTTCGAAATGCACATGTATGTGTTTACAAACGTGATCATTATCATAATCGATGCATCACGCGCGCTCGGTAACGGAATCGCACACGGGATACGGGGACCATCGAATGTACGCTGGGCATGTAGAAGAAATCGCGTCGTTCAAACATTAAACACGATCGGAAATTTAACGTGTTCAAGATCGCGAGGGGAGCTCTCCGAAATGAACGGAAAATTTCACTTTTTTCCGGATCGTAAGTAAACTTCAGTACAACCATCTTAATTATCGATGTCTACTTGTACCTCAGGTGGCATATCTAGTAATTTGGAGGCCGTTTTGAAGGTGAAATCTGATGTTTTTTGTTGGAAAATGTTGGTTTTTGGGACTGTGTTGTCTAGGTCGCGGTATTAGCTTGGACCTTACTATCGCCAGACCATGTCCAAATGTTAAAAAAGGCGATAAGTTGGGTCCAAGTTACTCGGACTATTCTGGGAGTATGTTCCTTCCTCCATGTATGACCATTCTACTTCCATGATCATACATAGCCTAGTACTAGTACTACTGGCCGAGTAACTTGGACCTAGCCCCATAAATGTGGCCAATTTACTGGGCTACCCCCGTAAATATAAAGGCCACACATGATGTACAGGTACAAAAACATGTAGAACTTTGTCAATTTTGATTTCCGCATTTAGTTTGTAGTTTATTTTTGCTTTAGAAGCATTCTCACCCTCTTTATAGGCTAATCAGAAAGTGCTGCCTTTTTCAGATGTCTATTTTTCGTGAAATTTCATGTTGAATTTTGATACGCAAACGTGTGCAAACAAATCTGGAAATTTCACGAAAAATATACATTTTCTAGCTTTCTACTAGTGCAGATGTCTTACCACTCGACCACCGAGCTTCAAGATCGGTTGGCTGGTTCCAATAGCAGTGGGTTCCGCATTTAACTATTCATAAGATGGTGTTGGGGTGATGTTAATCAAATTAGGTTTTGCCCTTCAGGCAAAAACCATGTTTCACTGTTTTATCATGGAGCAGTAACAGGCAAAAAGCATCTTTTACTGTTTTATCAAGTCTGCTGCTAGGCCTGCTTTAGTCTGTGGACTGTTAGGCGAAGTAAAAAAAAAAACATGTTTCTCGTCCCCGCCCGCTTCCTTTTTGGAGGCCGCCTGGATTTTTTTATTTTTTTTATTTTTGAAAATGTAGTAAAAAATGTCACAGAAAAAGTCTACAAATTCATCGGAAAATAAATACCAATACCAATACAACCCTAAATGACACTGTAAATATGTTCAGTTCTCTTGTCCAACTTGTCTTTCATTTTTAAAAGTGTCTTTGAACAGTGGAACACCAACGTTTGGAGGAAATTTTAAAATGGTGGTCATCTTGAAAAAAATTAAAATAAAAAGCCCCGCTTCCTCCCCTTTAAAAAAAACCCGGACGAGAAACATGTTTTTTTTTATTCGGCCTTAGGTTTGCAAATTGGCTTGTCGGATCACCGAACTGCATATTATTTTGTTGTTGATCAGGTTCAAATTTTCTCGGCATTCTCTTTTCACACTTCAGCACCAACTTTTGTCAATGACCCCTGTGCTGATGAGATCATTACACAACCGGACGAGGGGATGAACGATGCTACGGTGTACTGGGCTATCCCACTTGCTAAAGTAGGTGACACACCGGCAGCAGTGACATGTGACAGAATGCCTGGAGAGAAATATGCCGGAGGAAACAACGATGTCACTTGCACAGCAAAAGATGTAGATACTCCAGCTGATATGACAACATGTACATTTCAAGTTCGTGTGTGTAAGTATCATGTGGTTCGAAGAAAAGGGTAACCACAAAGCAAGAATCCCTTTTCATTCTGCAGCTATCCTTTGAAAGTTTTTCATTATTTTGATTGAGTAACAACATATGCTAGGTTCACACATTCCCAAATTATTGCCACGAATGCCCCGATCTATCCCGAAAACAAATTCTTGATGGCATCGTGAGAAACTAGCCCCGATTTTGGTATTTGTAAGAATAACTTAAGAATGAAACAAAAAATAATCAAGAACTAGAAGTGGAAGCTGAGCCAAACGAACGTGATATAGGGCAGAATAAAACTGAATTGTAGTGATTTTGTCGAGAATAATGTACGAATAACTCAAGCTTAATACTCTTATAATATTGGTACATTTCTTGAAACTTTCGTAAAGATTCAGCATGATTCTGGACTGTTAACACCAAGAATAACTTGTAAGAATGCTGTAAGAATATCCAGAATAAGTTGTGAATTCAACAAGAATAAAACAAGAATTGACATTGGTTCCCGATTCACTCGGACAATTTTGAACATGTCCAAAATTGTCGGGGCCTTTCCCGATCTTTAATGAGTTCCACAGACCTAAACAGAATCATCCCGAGGCAGCCAAGAACCGTTCCCCGATTTACTCAAAAATGGTTATTCACGGCAATTCGGCTGAAAGATATGGAATGTGTAAACCTAGCATCATCTGGAATGTGTAAACCAATTCCGAGAGCTCCCTCGCGATTGTGAACACGTTAAATTTCCGTTGCGTGTTTGAATTGCGATGTGGTCTTCATGCCCAGCGTTCACTCAATGGTCCCCGTATCCCGCGTGCGATTCTGTTACCGAGCGTGCGCGATGCAACCGAGCTAGCGCGATGCATCGATTATGATAATGAGTGGACTGGATCACGTTTGTAAACACAAGTGCAATTGGAACGATAATAGGGAGTCGAGAACTAGGGCAGATTTTATGGACGGAAACCAGTTAAAGCTAGTTCCCGACTCCCTATTATCGTTCGAAATGCACTCATGTTTACAAACGTGCTCCAGACTATCATTATCATAATCGATGCATCGCGCACGCTCGGTAACGGAATCGCACGCGGGATACGGGGACCATCGAATGAACGCTGGGCATGAAGACCACATCGCAATTCAAACGTGCATTGGATTTTTAACGTATTCACGATCGCGAGGGGAGCTCTCGGAATTGAACGGGAAATTTCACTTTTCATCCGGATCGTAAGTAAACTTCAGTACAACTATCTTAATTATCGATGTCTACTTGTACCTCAGGTGGCGTATCTAGTCATTTGGAGGCCGTTTTGAGGGTGAAATTTAATGTTTTTGTTGGGCAATGTTGGGTTTTTGGGTCAATGACAGAACTGTGTTGCTCGGCATATAATGATTAGCTTGGACCCCACTATCGCCAGACCGTGTCTGAATGTTAAAAAGGCGATAAGTTGGGTCCAAGTTAATCGTACTAGATCTAACTGGTGTCTGTAATCTTCCACACACAAACAGTCCCAACATTCGAGAGGGCCTGCCCTGCGGATTTCCCGTCCGCAACTGGTGATGGGGTGACATTTGACGAGCCTTTAACAAACGTCGACACAGATGGCACCACAAAGCCTACAGTTACTTGTGATAACCCAGTTACGTTCCCTGCTGGTCCAACAACCGTTACATGTGAAGCTACAGGTACTGAGTCACGGAAGGTTTCATGTTCCTTTGAAGTGACAATTGGAACACGTAAGTTAAAATATTATGTCTTTCATGAAATCCCTTTCGTGCAACTTTTCTCATTTGAAATGAAAATTGAAAAAGTAATGCTGGTTATATGTTACTTCTAGTGCTGATGAAGAGAAAAATAAAGCCATGTTGATCTTAAAAATCCACAACCATGGATCTGCCAGTGTTTCATATAATCAGATGTTTGATTTAGTGCATTCGTTTCTTTTTCTTCAGTGCCAACCTTTACTGATCAGGGTTCATGTGCTGATTCAAAAATCGACACTGCACCAGACGCCGGTGAAAACACCGCAACTGTGACCTGGACTGAGCCCACTGCCTCAGCAGGAGCATCTATTACTTGTGACCACTCTACTCCTGCTGTTTTTAAAGGTGGGGATACCACTGTGACATGTGAAGCTGCGGACAACACTGAATCAAGACTCTTTATCAGCTGTAGCTTTGATGTCAAAGTGTGTAAGTGTCTCATTCTAATACTGAATCTTGATAATCAACAGACACTTTCTCTTTCCAGTTGTGTGCTTTCTTTTTCTTTGTTTTTCTTTTAGCCTTTACATTAAGTGACTTTTTGTCTTGTTGCAGTGCAGTGACGTAAATCTGTGCCGGGGGGGGGGGGGGGGGATGACCAAAAATGCCCAGCTGTGGAAATTCGAAAAGGGGGGGGGGGGGAAGGACTGGAGTCACTGGACACCACATTACACTAGAGGGCGCTCTTCAAGATATAGATGTGTATCAATATGTATACTCGCGCTTACATCGAAACGGCGCATTTTTAAAGCTTCTGTACTTATGTTTCTCCACTTCTCAATGCTATTAAATACATTTCAGTTGTTGGGAAGTTCGAAAAATACCTCGAAATCCGCACTTTTTTTTTTCTCATCACGAAAAAGTGGGGGGGGGGGGATTCAATAGCCCATCCCCCCCTGGTTAAAAAGTAGGGTTGGGGATTTGTAAGCCCCCCCCCCTCCGATTTACCCCCGGTTGCAGTGGCATAACTACCAAGGAGAGGGGTTCTTCCCCCCCCCCCCCCACCCCCAGGGTGTACCTCCACCCATATAAAATTTTGAATTGAACACAAATTATACTACACTGTTGAAATGACTCCTTTTATGTCCCTTGAAAAATTGATACACCTCCAGATTCCCCCTTCAGAACACAGAGATGCTTTGCGTATCTCTGTGTTACGAAGGGATAATTTAAAAAAAAATCTTCTGATTGATGTTTCAAGCATTGCAAGTGTCATAATATAATCTAGTGATGATTTCAGAAATTTTGCCAGTATACTTTCAAATTTTATTTTGCAACAACTGTTTTATATAGTCAATATGTTTTATTTCATGTGAACACTTTCATGACTCTGTGTAAAAATTGCGCGCTCTAAGTTGACTGTACAAAATGAAGTCCACTTCGCTGTGCTATGTACAAAAATGTTACTAATTTAAAACTCATAATTTTCAGGCTGTGATGCTCTAATAGAAACTGTGCACTTTTTACCAATTTGGACTACTTCTGGTTGTTAACCTTTTTCTTTTCAAAAGTTCCATCAGGGGGTGGATTCTGTATATAGCCCAAAGCAATGCTTTTCTACAGAAATCTTGTACCTTTTTTTTTATCTGTTTCTTTATTATTAAATCATTATGGCTGCCACAACCACTATGATTACTTATAAACAAACAAATGAGAGCAGATTGATTAATTCCATCTTGGGATGTCATCTCCACAGATCCAACATTTGAGACTGGTTGCCCAGATAATATGGTGGTTGCAAATGGTGCTTCCCCCACTTTCACAACGCCTGCAGTAAACGCTGATTCAACTGGAGCTGCAGTAACAGCTTCCTGTAGTCCTCCTTCTGGGGGTCCCGGTTTCACTGATGACCTAGCAAACGATGTAACTTGTACTGCTCAGGATGGTACTTTGACTTCACAAAAAGCCACTTGTACCTTCAAAGTAACACTTGGAACTAGTGAGTTGAGTTGATGAGTTCAATATATGGAAAGTAACATGATTACAATCCATAATTTGGTACCCTGAAGTACCTGACCACTGATGTCAGGAACCGGTTCCAGATTATGGTATCGGGTACCCGTAACCAGCTTAACAACTTACTTACGTTCTAAGACAACGAAAAAGAAAGGTTTTAAGCGATTAAGCCCTTCATATCAGACAACTTCCGGGATTTGAATTTTTTTTGGGGGGGGGTATCCGCAACTCCTGTGTTTTGCTTCAAAGGGGTTCCCTATTCCTGTTAAATCCTGAAAATGCACACCACTATTCCAAAGTGTAGTGGTCTAGATTTCTTGGTTCTTGGTTCTTGGTTGGTTTTTCTCCTAAATACTCCACGTGGGAGTTTATACAGGAGACCAGAAACACTGGGGCAAACTCCTTCTCTTAACGATAAGTGTCACTGGGTTCTTTTACGTGCATTGGATTACACACGGGACCTACGGCTTTACATCCCATCCGAAGGACGAAGCAATAATGGTTTAAGTGCCTTGCTTAAGGGTACAAGTGTCCACCCTGTGGGCTCGAACCCACGCCACTGTTGCCTCTTAAACTCCAGAGCATGAGTCCAGTGCTCTTAACCGCTAGGCCATGACACTCCATAGATTTAGTGTGGGCATGTAGCTAAATTTTTTGGGGGGAGAGGGATGCATGAGGCTGACAATTTTTCAGTGCCCCAGAAATTAATCGCAGTGGGTATAATTTAAGCATAAACGATACTGGCTAAAGATATGTGTGATTACCCGACACATATTTGAAAATACTGAGTCATTTACGTGTAAACCCAACAAGTGATGAGGTGGAATTTTTATGCTGTTAACTTCAACCTCGATCGATCAGTCTCACTTGTTAGCCCTAGTGGGTGGTAACTTACTTTGAGTGATGTACTAGGTGATTATATTTTTTTCGATGAGTATGATGTGTTAATGTCAGTTGTGAATATCAGAAATATTTTTTTATATTTGGATCGAAAAGATTTTTTTTTTTTGGACTGAAAAAGATTTATGAATGGGAATAAATATGTGTTCGGTCGGTATTAAACACTCTGTTTAAGACCGGTTTGAGTCTGGATGGGCGATTCACCCATCCGGACTCACACCGGTCTTAAACAGAGTGTTATAATACCTCCCAAACACACACAATTTATTCCCTTAATTAAGGGTCTGTATAACCTAGTCACCGCATTCAAAATCAAACAGTCACATGTAGTTTTGAAACTGAACAGCAACCTGTTCAACAGCTCATTATAACATCCAAGAATTTTGACATGCAAATGATCCAGTGCCTGAGGGCAGATAGTTGGAGCGTACTGCTTGACATCATGGGGACGAGGTTGTTATCCTGATGTACTAATCATTGTGTTCTTGTGTTGTTTCCTGCAGCGCCAGTATTTACTGCCGAAGGGTCATGTGCTGCTCCTGGTACAATTGACGTTTTACCAGACACTGGTAAAATGACAGCAACAGGTATTACGTGGGTAACACCAACTGCAGGTGTGGATGTGAATTGTATCCCTGATCCCGACACCGCAACGTTCGTGGGTGGTGAGACTGACGTAACTTGCACAATAGCGGATGCTTCAACACCAACACTCATCAATACGTGTACATTCAAAGTCCGCGTCTGTAAGTATTGTGGGTTTTCAAACCTCTACATGACATTTAGGCTGACCCGCGCTATCTTACAAAATAATGATTTTGTTGAAATTCTTTCACAGTCTGTAACTTGAAAAGGTGCATGATTGATGCCGATTTATCTGCGCAAACATTTGAGAAAACCTTGATGAATTTGTCAGTGATGAACTCAAACACTAATTTCTAATTTTTTCCCTCACGTAAAATTGTTTTCGTGATTTTATCAAATTTCTCTGTTTGGCTAAGAAAGTTTCAAGTTTACTGACCCAAGCCGAATAATGGTGACCAGGTCCCTATTAAAACTGGTTTTAAACAACACGTTTGTAAATGCTCTGTCAAACGAGTGTCACCTTATTAGGAACTTCTAGGGAGACAAATAACGCAATTTTCAGGGGCTGATGTAGCTTTCGGGAAAAATTTGAGGTTGATATGAAGGGGGAGGGGGGTTTGAATAAAGGTAGGCCTTGCTAGGTGGTCCGGGGACATCCCCCCCCCTCGGAAAATCTGTCAATCTACGATGCTTTCTCTTGGATTCAAAGACAGTTTAAGAATAAAGTTGGGAGCTTGAGCCTACCCTTTATTATTTTTTGTCCCATGTTACGGTAGTAACACAGGGGAAGGGGGGGGGGAGGTATTTGCAACCCCTATCACCTCCCCCCCCCTCTCGATCTAGATTCACCACTGATTTTCAAGTTATGTAACTTTTCACTTCAAAACATACATTTTTGGCAAAGCGTGTTTGGTTTTCCTCAAGTAAATGCCCTCATTCCCAGAATATCGTTCCTCTTGAAAGGCATTTTTGCACTCGTAACGGAGTGTATGGCTTTGATATGAAATTTGATATTAAATTAGTAGTGATCAGGAATTCAAAGATGGAATATATTGGTGTCGGTGAGCAAACTTCTTACTGTTTGCAACTACAAGACAGTAATTAAGAAGGAAGTCTTTCTCATTATTATTTTTGCAGTTCCACAATTTGCAGAGAACTCTTGTGGAGAGGATGTTATACGATCACCGGACCCCAATGATTATAAAGCAACATATGCTTGGATTAATTCTGCTATCAAGATGGATGGTGCCGCTGCTACAGTGGCTTGCCAGCAAGCATCTGGATCTAAGTTCGGCGGAGGAGAAAATGATGTGACATGCACAGCCACGCAAGCTGCTAATGAAGTATCTACCTGTAAATTCAAGGTTACAGTATGTGAGTGAAACTTGAGCCATTTAAAAAAAATGTATTTACTAAATACATACTAAATCAATAACTTTAAAACCCATACATCGATATCTTGTTAACAGCGACTGAAAAATATTTAATGGATAAATGACTTTACACATTTTTTTACATGAATTGGTGTCCAAAATAATTCAGGCATATCTTTTTGTGCGCCATGGGTGCACAGCCTAAAATATATATATTTTTTCAGCATGACTGTATTTGGAATTAAGTGGCTCACACTATTATATGTAGTCCCCGGCCGTTTCTCAAACCCTGGTTTTGGGGACAACATTTGGCAACACCTCCCCCATGTAAAATTTCTCACTATGCTACTGCATGAAATTGCATATCTACATACCAATGGATGATGCAGACTACCAAACGTGCAACCTCGGGGACTATTTCGCATCGTTTTTTTTTTTTTCCCCCTCGGGTTTTATTAAATCCAAATGTAAATTATGCCGTGTTCTTTCCAGGGCCAAAGTTAGATGGAGCAGTAGCGGATATGACACAAGCGCCCGATGCAGGATCAAATAAAGTGGCAAGTGTGACCTGGACCCCACCCAGTGTAACTGACCCCGGTGGAGCTACTGTTACAGTCACATGTACACCTGAGCTTGGTACATCATTTGTCGGAGGTTCCACTCCTGTTGAGTGTTACGGTGAAGATCCAACTTCAAAACTCAGAGCCGTCAATCAGTTCAGTGTCAACATTTGTAAGTTGCATATTTCTCATCCTCTTGCCAGTATATTTGATTTATTTTTCATTAAGATTGCAAGTAGTAGTGTTGAAAGTTGTGAGAAGGTTCCCCTATGCAGATCATACTCCGAATGTGCTCCCTGTACTTAGACAATACCAGGCTGTGTCACATGTTGTCCACTGGAATGATCGTTTAAGATTGCTTGTTTACAAGCCTTGTTGCAGTTTTAGTCGACGTCTCTATCAAAATTTGTCTTACCGTCTATCAAATCATACTTTCAAGTCGTACAACCCGGGCACACGTTAACGGAGTCAAAACAACAGCCATTTTGTTGACTTCAAGGGTCTAGCTGAGTGGAATAATTGTGTTTCTTTTTAATGAAATTTCTGAAAGCGTTACTTCATTCTTTGTGTCATCCTGCTATGTACATGTATGTCATCATGCTGTGAAGGATGTTTTTGTGGTTATTTTTTTTATATTTAGCCTCCTTGTTCACTTGGTACATGGTTGCTAGTCAATGAGGGAAGTAAACATTTAAAAAAGCAAGGCTACAAAGCGTTGCATTTTAGTAAGTTGCAGGGGAAGTTTGCAACTGTTACCGAAAGCAAATACCAATTCAATATCAACATTCATTAGTGTATAGTGTGTACAGAATGGGAGAAAGAACACAACCTTGTGGGGCCCCAGTACTTATATAACGGATAGTTGAGAAAGTGGAATTAAACCTAACTTGCTGTCCTCTATTTGTTAGGAAATTATTGATCCAGAGTGTAATATTGGAGTTGACATTGAGATCCAACAGTTTCTGAACCATCAAGCACGGCTGAATTGTGTTGAAGGCACTCGCAAAGTCTACAAAAAGAACTTCAGCAAAAGCCCCTGCCTTCTCCAGGTGTTCACAGATACCATGAACCAATTTAAGAATTGCGTCCTCTGTATTCCTTTGTGGTCCATAAGCAAACTGATAATCATCCAGGGAACCTTCAGAAATAAAGTTGTCAGACAAAGAGGAACACAAGAGCTCAATCACATGCTTATCAAAATGGAAACAATGGAAGGGCTGGGCATGTGGGGCATTTTTGTATGGAAGAGGATGTGGATATGTTGGACTTTTGTTTTCATCTTCTTTTATTTTTTCCCAGGGCCAAACATGCCTGACAGTCAGTTAGTGCTGGATATCAAACGAGCGCCTGATCTGGGGAAAAACGTAGCAACAAATGTTGTGTGGGATACACCAACTGCAACGGATTCTGACGGAGATCCACTTACAGCCACTTGCACCAAAGCGTCAGGATCGGACTTTAGCGGCGGTGCACATGATGTTGAGTGTGTGGCTACTGATCCCCTTGGAGCAACCTTCAAAGCCACAAGTCAATTCAAGGTTGAAGTTTGTAAGTTGAAATTTTTTCTTGTTCTGTACTCAGCACTTTTTTAAGAATCTAATCGACAACCTCACTGAAATTCCGTTTGATATGAACTCAATTATATGAAGCCACACATTGTGTGTCACTAACTGTATAATTGAAATTTCCCATTGAAAATAGTCCACCTCTCTTTCTTTAGCAAAATCAGACGTTTGAGATTGTGGAAGCAGAGTCAGCGTTTGCTACAGTGAGTGAGCTAAAAGTTTGTAAAAAATGCGATGTTACAAGGCATTACGTTTTAGTAGTTTGCAAAGGAAATGTTAACTGTTGCTTTTAAATTACACAAAGCAAATAGCGGCTTTGGTTGTCAAGAAATAGCCTGGTCATTTTTTTTAGTGTATTTTGCAGATGATTTTAATGCCATGTCACTATTAACCCAACACTTGACTGCTGTAAAATTAGAACGGTTTCCTGTAAACTTATTATTCAGTTTAAATTAAATAAACCAGACGGACCTTTCCCTGCTTTTCTAAACTGTGTGAAACTTTTATCTGGGTATTCCCCATTGTATCATACCTTGTCTTACCAACTTAAATCTGGGGCATTTGTTTGTGGAAGAGGTTGTAGATGTCTTCAGTGATAGACGTTTATTTTCATCTTTTCTTTTTTTTACCCAGGGCCAAACATGCCTGACAGTGAGTTAGTGCAGGATATCAATCGAGCGCCTGATCAGGGGAAAAACGTAGCGACAAATGTTGAGTGGGTTGCACCGGCTGTAACCGGTTCTAACGGAGATCCAGTTCCAGTCACTTGCACCCCAGCGTCAGGATTGGAGTTTATCGGCGGTGCACATGATGTCTCGTGTGTGGCTACTGATCCCCTTGGAGCACCCTACAAAGCCACAAATCAATTCAAGGTTAAAGTTTGTAAGTTGAAATTTTTGGTTGTTCTGTTTGCGGCACCTTCTAAGAATCTAATTGATAATCTCACTGTATGATGGAGCCACACATAATTGTATAATTGAAGTTTCCAATTGAAAATAGTCTACCTCTTGTTTAAAAGCAACATGCATTGATTTTCATGTGGAGATAAAGTTGTCAGACCAAGAGGAAAACAATAGCTCAGGTACATGTCTATCAAAATAGAAACAGTGCTGTGTCCACTGTCCACTTGTGCAAACAGTGAATTTTGTCCATCTTTATTCTTTACAATGGAGAATCAAACCAGCGAGTGAATATTGTTTGTTTTTAGCTAGTAGTAAAGGAGTATTTACATATTTCGCAGCTGTTCACTTCTTCACAAGCCAACAGAAATTCATCGGGTGCCCGGCAGAAGGGCATATGAGCATTCTGACGCAAAAATTATTTGCAAGAAAACTGCATTGAAAGGTTCCATTGTTCTCCCGGGCGCATTATGAATCCAAAGTTCCTCCGCGCGTATTATAGATCGTACGAATTTGAAATTTGTCACACGTACCAATCATAAGTTTTGCTTGGAAACCTGTATTAATTTCTGACGAAAACGTTGTTAATTTCATTAAAATCGAGGTGGTTTTCAGCATAGGCCCTTTTGCTGGGAAGATTTTTGTGATTGCATGTTCCCGCATAAGGGCATACATGCATATGCCCTTCTGCTGGGCACAGGACGAATTATGTACAGTTGCTGCCCCGACCTTTTTATCCGCGCTTTTCATCAAATTGTGCACTTGTCTTTTTTGGGGGGCTGAAAAATTGAATCAGTGTGCAAGGAATGGGTTTTCAGATTGTAAGAGTGACCGTGTTTGTATTTTACAGTGTTCCCTGTCAATGAACACACATATGCATACTTTAGTCTCTCATCAGTGGTCCAATTTTATTTCTTATTACCCTCAAAGTTCCAACATTTGCGACGGTTTGTGTTGACTTCCCACCTGTGGCTCCGGAAACTGGGACAACAACTGTAGTTGAATATGTCAAACCCATTGGAGCACCTGATTCAACGACCACTAATGCAGTTGTCACCTGTGTCCCCGAAACGGGTACCGCCTTTTTAAATGACAAGGAAACTGTTGTCACATGCTTCGCAGTCGATTCCGATACTGAAAAGTTTCCAACCAAGGCTACTTGCAGCTTGAAAGTGACGGTCGGTACAGGTGAGTTTTTTTTTTTTCACTATCAACCATGGAGGCATTTTTGTAGAGGTCATTGACATAACTACTGTCCAATTTGAAAGATTGTTCAAAGGGTCACGTTTTCTGGAGGGAGGCATTCTATCAGTGGGTCTTCAGAAAACAAGTGCCTTTCGAAAATCTTAGTAGGGGCATGGGGGGGGGGGGGCATAGGGGAGGGGGGGGCATAGGGGAGGGGGGGGGGGGGCAGTGGGGACGTTCCCCCTATGCCCCATATTACGTATTTGCCAGTGATAGAGATGTAGCGCACGTGTGCCCTAGGTTCGGACAGGTAGTGTATAATTCAATGCACAGTGAGTAAACTGATTGCCCACTCACGAGTGTTTTGAGAAGAGAAAACCACTCAAAATGCAAGATTGCCTCTTCCCAAACATGTAGACTCTCTCTCTTTCTCCGTTAGTAAACCCCCAATTATCCAGTTTGACTGGAAAATAATGAAACCTGTCACTTCGGTGTCATGTCACATGTCCATGTCACGTGACATCACCCCGATTTTTTTTTAAGCCCGCATAAAAACATTTTTATCTCAGCAAACTGATTTATGGGTAGCAAAATCTGGTTGGAATGTAGCAATTTGTAGTCGGCAGATTCATACAAATAGAGTACCGAAGTGTGATATCATTTAGAACCGGGAAGTGTAGTGCAAACGAATGGAGTACACGCACGTGTTGGTTCACAGGCTGAATCGCGCGCTAATGTCTTTTACACACATAATTGTGTGCGTTATGTATTCACTTCGGTACTTCATTTGGAGCAGCAATAGTAGCACAATTTCGTTGTGCAGCTACAAGCAGAGATTTCGTTCCAATTTTTTTCGTAGAGACTGAGTAGTATAGGCACAGGAATGAGCACACAATTGTTTTAATAGGACGCAAAATGTTGGATTTTTTTACTTACCTGGTCATGTCATTACATTCACGGTTGACTGAGCAGTGAGCAACTTTATGAAAGGGTCCATTGAGAGACTTGCGCCATTTGTCATGGTGAAATCTCTTGTTTGCCCCACCTGCCTTGATTGGCAACCATATAGCCTTTCACTCTGTGACAATTGACACATTTTGAAAAGAGGCGCAATTCTCTAAATAGACCCTTTCATAAAATTGGTCACTGCTCAGTCAACCGTGAATGTAATGACATGACCAGGGTGTCATTTTAAAGAGGAGATTCAACCCTAACAGAGGATATCTCCCTTTGATTCACATGTGCCCAACTTCTGTCCCAATTGGCAATAATATCTCGGTTTCCGGGTTTTTTTTTTTATCCACCCTGTATTTTGTTTGCATTTTTTTTATACACACTGTATATACGTACATACAGCCACAGAGTTAGACATTAATTTCATCTTGTTTCCTGCGTTAGCTAGCCTTTGTCCCATGGAAGATCACTAGTTTAACCCTCCAGCCATGTATTTTTTTTTTTTTACATTTTGCCTACAGCTCCTACATTCGTTGCCAATAAGGGGTGTCTAGCAGAGAAAATGACTGGACCCACCGCCGGCAAAAACGTTGCAGAGGGAGTTACTTGGACCACCCCGGAAGCCACGCAAAGTGATGGGGAAGCGGCAACAGTAACCTGCGAACCGCCAAGCGGCTCTGACTTCAATGGCGGATCGACGCCGGTCACGTGTACGGCGGTGGACACTCGTATGCCAAACTTGAAAACAGAATGCAGCTTCAACGTCTATGTCTGTGAGTCACGATCATTTCAAGATTCAGAACTAAAAGAACATCAGAGAATTTATGCCAGATGATCCTACAACCCCTTTTGAGATATGGCAGCTTCAATAGAAGGGTCGCTCTTTGATTTGGGTAAATACAAAAGGCTCAAACAGTCCATGTAAAAGAGTTCACCCAAACCCAACACCCTTTCAAGGATTCAAAATGATACTTGCATGCCCAAAATGGCCTTAAATCAAAACGTTTAAGACAATTTCACAAAAAAAATGAAGGAAAAAGTTAACAACTTCCAAAATGCAATTGTAATAATTATGTGTGTCACTTTTATAGCACTTTCTACCAAAGCTCGTTCTCAAAGCACTTCAAAGTTATTACCCCTGTTCATCAGGCCATGAGACCACTTTTTTGCAGCCGAGATCAGAGCAATCTAGTGCCTACTCTCACAGGTACTCATTTATACTCCTGGGTTGAGAGAGGCAGTGGTAGTATTAGTGATGTGTTGCCCAACGACACAAGCGCCATGTTACCCGTCAGGGTCCAAACCCACGCACCAAGGCACATGAGCCGAACACCGTAACCACTGGACCACAGCCCCCAGTGCGTTTCAATAATCCGTTTTTGGTGCACGATATTGATCTCTTTGTGTAAGAGTTGTTACTGATACATGCCATTGCTCAAGCAAATTCTGTGGAGGGTCAACACGCAACACGACCCTGTACAAAGGTTGAAAAACACAAGCATCTTCCAAAACAAAGTGAGAGCAAAAAAGTTGCCAAAGACGATTTGGAAAATACAGTCAGTGGTATAAACTCCACGTTCCGTTCAGTATGCTCTGACCGTCTTCAGGAGAGTGCCTAAGCTCTTCTAAGAGTTTAGGCACTCTCCTGAAGACGGTCAGAGCATACTGACCGGAACGTCGAGTTTATACCTCTGGTTCTTTTCAAAACCATTCTCTTACCGGTAGTTGAGAAATTATTCGCACATGGTGTTTCCGCAAACCTTCCTTCTTTAGTATCTCCACTATGCAAAGCCTCAAATCTTACTTACAGTCAGTGAGTTGGCGTTTCATCTATTGGAATTCCAAATTTACACCGTGTGTGTTTTATCATTGCTGGGTCTGGAATTAACGTTGAAAAATGTACTGCATTGGTTTTAAGTAAAGACGAATCTGGGTACATGACCCCTGCAATGGCGAAAGCATTGTGCAAGCCATTAGACAAGCCATCGGGCAAAGCTTGGATACCCAATGGCGGATTATCTGAACAGTAGCTAACTCAATTCTTTCGCCATTGAAGGGGGCCTCTGCGATATAAGTGATAGCGTGCACAGATTGGTTCATAAGTGATCTTTTACATGAATAATTAGATGAGCCAGTTTAAAGGGAATATACAACATTTGCAAACATCGAAAAATAAAACTACCAAGTTTTTACGAAATACCTTACTAGGATGTTGGTTAATGACAGTCTCAAGCATCCTGTAAAATTATTGCACCTGGTGTGAAGTCATTTTCAAGAAAATCGTATTTTTGTATAAATTTCCAACGGTGATCGGCCGACCAGCGTTGGGAAAAACCTAACTATTTTTCAACTACTGCTCCAAGTTGACCATTTTTTCAGTCCAAATTTTGTTTGCTATTGGTTACATGTTCATGAACGGGTGCAGGCCAGCTAGACTGGTTCCATTGCCTTACAATTTTCCATCATCTATAAATTGATCCATTTCATCTTATGTGGAGTCAGGGAACCAGACTACTTGAACATTTTTGTTTTTCTTGGTTTTTCCAACCTTTTCGAACACAAAACTTCAAAAATGTCAGTGTAACAATATTTGATCTATTATACTAACCCCTCAAATAGTTCATTTTCTGAAAATTACAGCAAATGCCAATGATGTACATTCCCTTTAAGACAACATTTACGTGGAGACAAACATACCGAAGTATTATAGTCCCATTGTGAAAAGCAAACTTTTCACTCATGGAGCATGTAGCAAAAAACAAAGATAGACAATATTTGAATTTTTGCATATATTTTTAATTTTTTTTCCAACTGCTATATAATAGTTCCAACATTTGATGGTACCTGTGATGACCAATTTGCAACCCCAACAAGTGGAAATACTAATGTCAATTACAACGTACCAGTTGGAGCTCTCGATTCGACAAATACCAGAGCAGCAGTGACATGCAACCCTGCCAGTGGTTCCAGCTTCCCCGATAACGTAGCAACCGAAGTAAAATGCGAGGCCACCGATTCTGATACCAGTTACGAAGAAAAGGCTACGTGCTCCTTTAATGTGCTAGTCTCTGCAGGTACGATTTTCTTTTTGAGAGAAAAATATTCTGACAACTTAGTCAAGAACATCATACAGCTTTTGCATTAAACAGTACATACTATCATGGACAAAACAGTTCCCAAGAAATGGGATGAAATCAGGAAATGGGATGGGGGAGTGGGGGATAAGGAGTGTGTCAAGAAGATGTGAAAGACAAAATTATTAACAACAAATTGGCATTCCAACAGCTGTTCAAGGCATGGAGGATCGTTTGCTTTTTGTGAACTTTGCGTTTCCTATACACCACACAAAATTCAAGGAAGATAGTTCAAAACGTAACCTGTTGAAGTTTCAGCTCTGTAAATTGTACACTTTTTGAGAAAATCACAAAAGAAACATGCACAATCTTTTGATCACAAAACACGATTTCATCAGTAGCACTCTTCATCCCCAAAATCAGTTAATTGACGTGGGAAATCACCTTCATTTCTTGATTTCTTCTTATTGAGAGCAAGCCATACAGAACAATGTCACCCGATGTTCAGTCTGAACTTTATTCAACTACGTATATGATGTGTGATGATAACATAGTAGGTTACTTTCAGGATGAATGGAGACAATTCTATAGGGCTCGCTCAATTACGGCCATCTCTGTAGGAGAACAGCAACTGCATATTTTCCGCAATCAAGCCTGCATATGCGCAGTGTTGCAAATGTTCTAAACGCGCATGCTTGTTGCTCGAAATATGTTCAGAATATGACGCAGCCGATGCGCGTTGTGCAAGTTGACGCACAAAATGCCGATGCACTTGGCTGGTCTGTAGGAAATGACGTCATTTGAGCGAGGCCTATATGCCTTTATGTATGTGCCTCACAATAAACCGCAAAATGTCCTTTTCCACTTTACAAAATGCTTTTTAGCTCCAACATTTGATAACGACCCAGCGTGTCCAGCAGACGAGGCAGTTAGCCCTGGTGCTACTGGTTTTAATAAAGCCGTTGCCACCTGGACAGATCCTCCAGCGAGACAAGGCGACGGGACTGCAACCGCATTAGTCACATGTGACCCACCTAGGGGCTCAACATTTGGCGCTGGCGATACCACCGTTACATGTACAGCAGAAGACCCCCGCTCGTCAAGTCTCACAACTACATGCGACTTCAAAGTCCGAGTCTGTGAGTAATTCTAGTTTGTTTTTCATTTCCTAGAGTCAAAAAGAAAAGATTGAATTCCCACCCACAGATTTTTGTCAAACTTAAAGTTTCCCATCACATCGCTAAAAGCCATGCTAGGTGAAGGGCTATCAAATATAAAAGGATACAGACAGGTACAATGGTCTTAATAGGTCCTCTATACCCCAGAAGCACACCGGAATACACTGCTTGTGTACAATTGACTGCTTTCAGATTTGGTCGAGTATAGCACGTACCTCGAATGCACCATTCAGCACGGTTGTATTTAAACGGTCTGCTCACCCAAAACAATGGTCAAAACAAATCAATAGACAAAAAAAAAACATAAAATACTTTTTGTCCAACAAATGTCATCAAAATTGGCTTCCTAAATTGACCATTCAATATTTTGAAGATATGTACAGGTATGCAGTTTCTCCATAAAGATGGAGGACATAGAACCAAACCCCCCCCCAAAAAAACTAACGATACATACACAGACGTACATTCTGATCCAACTACCCACCGTTATTATACATAATAATAGGCACAAGTATTACATAACAAGGAAGGACAGTTTGTAAACTGCGGTGGGTATGAAGGGAGACAGAAAGTGGAGGCTGTTCGAAGTTGCTTGCATGGTAAAGTGGAAAATGGAAAGAATATGTGATGCGATCAAGCTAAATGAGTCCTTTATCGACCGCGGTCAAATTTTTTTAATTACAGATTTGAAAAGAGCACAATCTCAGCATTACTGCTGTGAAAACCGCATGCTGGTACCATCTTTAGTTCAAAAATTATGGAAGTCGGAACACCAAGAGATGTGATGAAGTGATGTGATGAAGTGGCCCTATTTTGGCCTGTATATCCAAATGAAAATTCCCGACAAACGACTCATGTAGCTTGATCGCACCACAATTAGTTTCAGGGGGTACATGGTTCACATGCTGTCCAAGGACTTCCGTTTTTTAACATTTTTTGTTTAAATATCTTGATGCAGTCGCAAATGTCAATTTGCCAGATTTTAAAATCCTGTCCAAATTGGTAGCGTTGAAGTTGTTTTATTAAAGGAAACATGCGCACACTTTTCTGTGTGTTGTTAACATTTTAAAGGTCACCAATGGTCAAAATGTTCGTCCTCACCTCCTGGCCTACTGTGTACAAACCAATGGGGGTCTTGACCAATATTGACCCAAGTAATAAGCAGGCTGACAATGCATGTTGCCATAGGAGGGTTGTGTTAATATAATGTATTACTGGAGTGCTTAAGGTGTGGCATTTTCACGTCGAAGCTTTGCTTATTAACAACGGTGGGTAGTTCAATCGGTCGATGCTGACATGTTCCTGATGCGGTTTTTGGCAGTCAATATTTCTTTTTATCTGCTTGTGGTTTCTTCTATCAGATCCGACATTTGCGAGTGGTTGTGAAGACATAGAGGTCGATAAAGGAGCCACTGGAACGGAAACAACAGTCGATTATGTCCCACCGGTCGGAGGCACTGATTCCTTAGGAACTAATCTAGTAGGCATTTCTTGCGATCCAAACACCGGTGACGCCTTTCCGAATGACCAGGCAACTGAAGTAACATGCAATGCAACAGATGTGGCACCCGACACATTTCCAGATGCTACGTGTACTTTTAAAGTTAAAGTCGGTACAGGTGAGTCACTAATAAAACAAGATCGGCAGAACATGTAACTCACTCAGCTTTTTAGACAAGCCGACTGCTTACAGTGCATTGTCAGTTGGTCTTCTAAGCTTATGAAGCCTTGTACAGGGACATTTCCTGGGTATTAACAATATAAAATTGATGTGTAATTTTTATTGAAGTTACATCAGCGCTTTATTTCAGTCTTGAAATGATAGATTGTTAACAATTCGTTTGTTTGGTTTTTTGGGCATTGGAGTGACTTGTATATTTACGTCAGCTACTTTGGATTCATGCCTGTTTGCACCATCCCAAATGGCGTCTTATCCAGTTTGTCGGAGGACGTGATAACTCACACTGGCTGTTTTTATACACTGGCACGGGTGACAGGGTTAAGACGTCAAGATTGCCTCGACTCGCCTCCTAGTGATGTTCAAACACGCTAATCTCTCGTGCCTTTTGTACACACACACAAAGTCTGGGAAGTCTGTGGAGGCGGACCGTGTGTATATATTGAATTGGCCGTTATGCACGGCCTATTGTTCTACAATTTACGCTACAGTGCACACCCCAGAGTATTGAAACATATGAGGTTTCCTCAAAAAATATCGTACAAATACCGTTGAAGTGACTCTTGCGAATCAGTTGTTGTGGCGTTTGGCTGTATATCAGAAGTTGGCTGGAAAATTTTGCCTTTTCGCAAAAATAATCCTGGCGCAAAGTGGAATAATTATTTTCCCGTAAAAATTTCAATTTTCGCAAAAGGCACAATTTTTTCAGCCAATTTCTGATGTACAGCCAAACGTCACAAATGCTGATTTGCAAGACTCATTTCAGCAGTATTTGTACGATATTTTTTTGCCGAAACTTTATATGAATTAATACTCTGTGGTGTGCACTGTAGCGTAAACTGTAGAACAATATAGGCTGTGCACAGCGGCCAATTCAGTATCAACACACGGTCCGCCTCCACAGACTTTGTGTGCATGAACAAAAGGCACGAGGGATTAGCGTGTTTAGACGTCACCCAGGGAGGCGAGTCGAGGCAATCTTGACGTTTTTAACTGTCAGCCGTGCCTTTGTATAAAAAAAAAAACCAGTGCATCTTATCACGTCCTCCGATGCGAACTGGTTACAACAAAACTTCCATTGTTGACGTCATGAAATTCGCTGCACTGTGGTTTTCACATGTGAGCCGGTGTGATATGAAAGTCAGAATCCTATGACGATCGGACTCCTTTACCCTATTATTGGTTAAACCCCCTCACCTCTTAAGACGTCACCCGGAGGCGAGGCGAGGCAATCTTGACCTCTCAACCTGTCAGCTGTGCCTGTGTATAAAAATAGCCAGTGTGTGTTATTACGTCTTCAGACGTGAACTGGGTAAAACAATGGAGACCGTCACAACGAAACTTCAAATGTTGACATCATTAAATTTGCTTCACTAAATGCTTTCGAATGAAGTACGAACCGATGTCGTATGAACATTTGAATCATATGAAAATCGGACTCTATGATTGGTCCAACCTTCTCACCGGTCACTGTCTTAATTATCATCATTCAGGCAGAGTCCTCAATTCCCGTACTCTGGCCTTAAATCTTCTCACCGGTCACTGTCTTAATTATCATCATTCAGGCAGAGTCCTCAATTCCCGTACTCTGGCCTTAAATCTCTTCTTTTATTGTGTTTCATGCTTCAGCCCCAACTTTCAACAAAGGGTGCCCCAGCAACATAGTTGTAGCCCCAGATGCGTCGGGAGAAGCTGTGGTGACCTGGGAAAAGGTTACTGGTGGCAGCCCAGCAACGGTCCAATGTGACCATAAGAGTGGAGATACTTTCAACGAAACAGAAACACTGGTGATTTGCACGGCTACGGACGCTGGGAGCGAACGCACCAGCCAGTGCACCTTTAAAGTTATCCTTGGTACGTATGACATATCATTGTGTCCTTTGCTACCTGAAACAATATGATTTAATGTGATCAGTTATCTGTAAGGTGATGGGATAAACAGAGTTAAGATTATTTCAATCTTAAAATACTCATTTAAAGAAGGTATTATTTTCATTGTCATGCTTTCCAAATATCCAAAAAAAGTCTCTCATCAGTGCTGTTTTTTTTTTTTGAAGGAAATTGTTTGTTTTTGAATGTAATTGCTATTTTCTGAAAACTCCGGTTTTAATCGCATGACGTCGACAAAGGCCTCATGTGCAGTTTCTTTCATTGAATTCCTTGATCTGAAACAGTCGAAGGATGAGTTTTTAGCCATCCTTGTTGTGTAAATGTACACATTTTGTGCAATGTTTATACCTGTAACTAAACTGACTTAATAGCCCAACCCTTCAAAACCTTCCTATCGGGATGGTCTTTAGCTTGTTTTGACTTATCCTAGTAAAAATCAAAGTATGAAACAATGACTGGTATGGTATGATATTTGCATTCACATTGTCACATTGTGGCCCATAGGTCAAATTGCATGACAGTTTACCAAGATTAAAAACATCAAAATCATAGTAAACATAAATTAAACAAATATATACAGAGAAAAACCCATATAAGGCCAAAAAATAATAGTTCTGCTTCCGGTTTCCCTACCTACCCTATTCTGACAGCCCCTACCTTAATTTTTTTTTTAATGGAAAAATGAGAGAAAAACGCCCCAAACCATTCATTTCTACCTTTTACCCTTGACTACACGCAGATGCCTCCATATGATCGTACACAAAAAAAATTGGCAAAAAAAATAGTCCCTACATACCCTATTTTCGAATGCCATGTAATCAGAAGCAGAATTATTTTTTGTTGGCCTAAGTTGGTTAAGATACAAGAAAATTAAATTAGTACATAGCACATACATTTGTACATATAGATTTGCCTGCCTCAGTATTTCAAAAAGTATATTAAAAAAAAAGCTGCTCACTTACAATACTTGCAAGTTGATAAAAAGTTGAAATGGTCTGTTTTGTTATTAATCAACCTTTTAAAGTGTGAGTTATGATGCGCATTTTGTAGGTTGCGGGCGTGAGGCTCCCATCATGCAGAAGGGAGGAGATCATTTGTACATTTCAGAAAAGCCATCCTTTGGCGCACCTCAAACATTGACTCCTATCAACTAGAGACCCAATCCCGCAAATCTAAAGAGGTCAAATGGCATGGGGGAAAATAACAAAACCAAAAAAAAATGGTAATCTGGTATAACATCGCACTTTAAGTGATACGCACACACTCTGCTCATTTGACTGATATGCTATTTCAAATTGCACGTATGCTTCAAGTTAAGATTGCTTGAAACATGTGCGTGAGAGCAGTGCAATTTCAGTCATGGCCAACACCTGTTGATGGCTCATCGTAACTTACGCTTATTTGCATAACTCATCGCTCATCGTAACTTATGCTTAATTGCATTACTCATCGTAACTTAGGATGCATCATAGCGCTGGGACGCGTCGCATTCCTACTATGCATCGCAGCTGCGACGCGTCATGCAATTCATTTTACAACACGCTGTGTGTCCCATCCACGGAGCTCTGAAAAGACGCCCTCCTTTGTTGGCGCACCAAGCTAATAGAGATTGGTGACCGTTAGCAGTGCTTTCCAGAAGCCCTCCCTGTTGTCTCCCCTGACTTTCTCTTTGTAACCGTTGAGAAGCTTCTTGTTCGCAGAGCTCACTTTGCCCCTTATTTTCACCAGAAAGTTGTGTTTGTTCTTTATAGATTCCGTTGCACCCGTAATCCTGTGCCCACCAACTCCAGCAAACGCTGATGCGGTGACTGGAACTAATAAGGCTCCTGTTGAATGGACCGACCCAACCGTGGGTTACGATGATGGCGACCAGACCAGACCTGTCAACGTCACTTGCATACCCAAATCAGGATCCTCGTTTGTGTACGGGAAGACGGCCGTTTACTGCTCGGCCATTGATTTTGTTGGCAATGTTGGAGAGTGCTCATTTGATGTCACCGTCACAGGTTTGTCCTTGTATACATGTATCAAACACACAAAAAAAAGATCGCACATATGTGACAACTCCAGCACAAAACCAGTCGCTTGAACCAGCTTTTGAAAACTGGGATTTTGGGTTCACTTGGGAAGGAAATTGAATAATCTTTCCAGTGGTGTATAGAATATGGGAATCGGACCACATCTGATCAGGAGCAGATCCAGGAATTTTTGCAGGTTTTTTTTTTTCACCAGCAAATCGGAGCTGAAATATAGAAAGGTTTTTTCTACTGACACTTGGCCTTCCTAAAATCAATAGAAGTGGGGGGGGGGGGGGGGGGGGAGTGGGAGGGGGTGCGTGGGGGGGGGGGGGGGGGGGGGAGGAGGGGGTGCATGGGGGTGGGGGAGGCGGGTATCGTACTATACTTTCAATGGTGGCGCTGTTCGAATCTGACGATCATGACCACTGTATTACAGAACAGTGTACATTTGTAAACCCCCCGTACCCCAGATGGCTCTGTCCGAATGTTGTGAACTGGCGGACATTATGACAAGTAAAGTTGTCATAATTTTTTGTGGGTGTCATAGCAGGGGGTGAGGGTTCACATTATTTTTAATATTTATCTATGAACAAAAAATTGAAGCCAGAGCTGTTTTTTTTTTTTGAAACCCCCCCCCCTGGATTTGTGCGTACTCATGGAGTTTAGTTCCCAATTCCCATCAATATTCTATGTTTTTCTATTTGCACCGTGTGCGAATAATTTCTCAGCTAAGAGAATGGTTCTGAAAAGAACCAGAGGTATAAACTCGACGTTCCGGTCAGTATGCTCTGACCGTTTAGGAGAGTCACGTCGAGTTTATACCTCTGGTTCTTTTCAGAACCATTCTCTTAGTTGAGAAACTATTTGCACATGGTGTTTCCGCAAACCTTTCATTAATTAGTATCTCCACCATGCAAAGCCTCAAATCTTACTGAAAGTGTAGTAACTCTTTCATGCAATGATTCTCTTTGCATTTGGGAATTGCAGGTAAAGCTTGTGACCCAGTGTGCGCGGGTGAATCTGACTGTATGTTAGATGATGTTGGCGCCGCCAGCTGCGTCTGTCGAGACGGTTACAGCTCAGCCACCAATGACGGCGCAGATTGTGCAAGTTAGTACCGCTCATTTATATTGTGCCCCTACAATTCTCCACAGCAGCACAGATTTACACACACAATTTAGGAGTCATCTCAGTGAATATGTGAGATAATTGAGGAAAAGTTTACCCGCAGTCTGCCCATTGTAATGGGTATTTGTTGCAGGATTCTGAAAAAGAAATTTCGTGAAAAACTTCCCGCAATGAAGTTGTCAGTTTGTAAATAATGGTGATAACTTCCTGAATGGAATATCTTCTGAAACTTGTTCAGAACCCTGCTAGTAATACATTACAATTGGCCAATTGCAGACAAACTTGTCCACAACTTATCCTGGGGATGACTCCTAGTTAAAGAAAAAAAGATAATCAGTACTACAAATGCCAAACAATTTAGTTGATGCTTGCTTCATTTCACTCCATGTAGATGTGAAATGGAAGTTGACGTTAACAATTTCAGTTACGTCAACCTAACTAATTCACTTAGTCAAAAAACTGTGCATTGGATATTGTACGAAACACGAAACAAAAGTGAACCTCCAAAAAAAGTTTTCTTCGCAGTAATTCGAAATGTCCATTTTAACATGAAGACATGTAACTGTTACACAAAGCTTCATATATTTAAAAAAAAAAAAAAAGCTGAGTTCTCAGGGCATCAGGACTTCAGCTCTATGCGTAGCATGAAAAAAATCCTTCTAAACCTTCGATTCTTACATTGTAAAATGTAAAAGAAAAGGTTGCTGAAAACAAAAGTTGGGGAATGTTATTCTATAGTGTAACTTGCCGAACAAAATTAGACGCCATTTTTTTGTGGTGGTGCCACGCCTGCGTGCATGCCGCACGGGTTCTTAGAGACGAGGTGAAAACGCATTTTGGTAACACTATAGATCGAAGGAGCCCGGACGGTATGTGCGTACTACCTGAAGGTGCCTGGCGTGGGCCTGGTACAACCGCAGAAAATGGCTGTTGCCGGATTAGTCCATGCCCAACCGTTGATAGGTACTAACCACAAGTGTTGATGATTTTATAGGTACTAACCCCAAGTGTTGATGATTTTATAGGTACTAACCCCAAGTGTTGATGATTTTATAGGTACTAACCCCAAGTGTTGATGATTTTATAGGGACTAACCCCAAGTGTTGATGATTTTATAGGTACTAACCCCAAGTGTTGATGATTTTATAGGTACTAACCCCAAGTGTTGATGATTTTATGGGTACTAACCCAAGTGTTGATGATTTTATGGGTACTAACCCCAAGTGTTGATGATTTTATAGGTACTAACCCCAAGTGTTGATGATTTTATAGGTACTAACCCCAAGTGTTGATGATTTTATAGGTACTAACCCCAAGTGTTGATGATTTTATCGGAGTAGAATTGACAACATTTTGCCCAAATGTATAGGCTATTTTGACTTAAAGTTGGGCAATTAATATATCATCATTTCCTTTCTTTTCAACGTGAATATCTGTATAAAACGTATGAGAGGCTGAGGTTTTTTTTAGCATTCTTTATATTTATTTTGTACTCCGGGGCCCTTAGAGAAATCAGTTCACTGAAAACTGATTGGGCTATTATTAACTTAGTGAAATACTGTAAACGAAATCAATGAAAAACGTTATTATTATTTTTTTTTCATCCTTGAAAAGATGTGGATGAGTGTGCAGCTGCAACCTCTCCATGCCACGAAAACGCTGACTGCACAGACTTGACCCCAAGTTTTACCTGTGCTTGCAAAGAAGATTTCTATGGCGATGGGATTTTCAGTTGCAGTCGTAAGTTAACTGACCTAAACAATGAAAGTCCTATGAGACATTGGTGTCCAAAAATGTAGTGTTTTGCACTTACCTATTGATGTTGTTTTAATAAGGGATAAATGTGTGTTTGGGAGGTGTTAAACACTATGTTTAAGACTGGTTGGAGTCTGGATGGCTGATAACTACCCGAGCCATAAATACCCTTTTCGGTAAAAAAAAAATACACAAGTTTTTGGTCCAAAAGTCAAAACAAGTCAAAAATTAATAGTTTCCAACGATCTTGTTCAGCAATTTTACTCCATGTTTTTCAAAACTCCCTCTAGCTACATAGTAGAGTGTTCAGCTCGCGAGTAAGACGTATACAACTCCTTTTACAGAGATTGGGGCGCGCGTCATGCATCGCGCGATGACACGCAGATGCAGCTGTGGCGAGTGTGGCCCATCAGGCCGGCGTTTATCTCCGGTTTCAGTAGCATGAAACTACTGAGAATATTGCTACTCCAACTGGACAGAATGCTAGACCATCACAGTTCAAAAGGGTACCGCCCTGCTAATGTCGGTACCCTTTTGTACTCTTGGGTGGAGAGAGGCAAGTGAAGACGAAGTGGCTTGCCCAAGGACACAGCATATGACCAGCAGCAGGATTCGAACCCCTGACCCTCTGATCATGAGTCACGAACCCTAACCACTTGGCCACACTCCCCCAATAGTTCAATCAAACAAAGCCTATTTTAATTATGATTCTTGTCTGCATCCCTGTCTGGTAAAAACTTTGCACTTGCCCAATCAGATTTTGGTCACAATTCATATGCAAGAGCAAAACTTTTAGTTAAGGACATTGGAAATCCTGCATTCACCTCGTCCAACTTCAAGTTCCTCAAGACTTAACTCCGAGGCTAATGCATCATGTTAGAAAAAAAATGGACTGATTTTAAAAATTCAGAAATAAGTTATTTGCTGCTCGCTTATTTATTGGATGGATTGTTATTTTTTTTTCCAGCGTACCAAGATGAGTATCCGGACATTGCCGTTCCAGGTAGGTGATTCATCAACAATTTTTGAACCTGAGAAAATGATTGGATCTAACAGAATGCAGTGTTATAAACATTCCACTGGTGTGTTTATTTTTGTGCAAACTGGACTGAACCAAGATGCTGATGATAGCACAAGTCGGGCGTCATTGGCAATGCGTTCCAATGTCACTCTCAGTGGTCTCCCCCAATGCTCCCTTTGTAACCCAAACCCCGAAAATTATATTTCATATTTCAAAAAAAATATGTAGCACCAAACATAATAATAACCTGAAAGCCAATTTCATAAGCTACTTTTAGATGGAAAAAACACTGAAATTGCTCAATCATTTCAAACAATATCACCATTTAAACACAATGACCCTAAAACCTCTTTCGTCCAAAGATGTGATTCTAAGATTCGTCGTCACAATTGTCTTCAAACATCACCAGAGACAAAGCCTCAGTTTAAAAGTTAAACATGTTCAACAAAGTCCTTTTGAAGGCCCGTCTTTTAGAAAAAAGTGGATTTTATAAATCATATTGTTTGCCTAACCAGGGTTGTTAATAAAGATATTGTGTACTACAGTTGTTGACAGTTTTGAAACAAGTATTCTGTGTCAATTCCTTTGTTATTCCAAACAGTCGGAATACACAATAAACTGCGTTTTTTTGGACGAAACAGGTTCAGGGGTCATTTGCGTTTAAATGGTGATATTCTTTGAAAGGATTGAGCAATTTTAGTAATTTTTCATTCCAGTCAATATTATGTTTGGTGCTACAATTTTTTTTTTTAAATATATGAAATATATTTTTGGGGGTTGGGTTCCACTTTTTTTTACTCACCCTGTAGCACATAAAAGCTATAGTCTATCATTAAGTGATGGCTTTTGTGGCTATTCTGTTTTTGTCAAACAGTGGATAAGGTATTCCAGGTGGAGTTATCCATTGCAGACGCTTCAGGTGCAGACTGTGACCCCGTCACGGACAAAGAATCAGATGCGTGTGTCGCACTTGTCAATACTTTCAAGTTGTTTGTAAGTTATAATGCACTGAACATTGTGCAATTGCTGTCTGCTGTGATGTAGTCCAATGCATTGTGTACGTCCGAGGGGTGGGGGGAGAGCAAATGACATGTTAGGCAAAGCCAAGGGTGCCATTTGCCCCTGGGGGGTACAAAACCCATGGACTGTATCAGAACAGACAACACTTGTTTTTATGGCATGATACTATTTTTTACAACTGTTTTAATTAAGGGAATAAATGTGTGTTTTTGGAGGCATTAATAACTCTGTTTCAGACTGGTGGGAGTCTGGATGGGTGATAATTACCTAAGGCAAAGCCGAGGGTAATTATCACCCATCCAGACTCCCACCGGTTTTAAACAGAGTGTTTAATACCGACCAAGCACATATTTAAATAAAAAAATAAAAATCTTTTCGGTGCCAAAACCATTTTGTTCAACACTTTTACTTCATGTTTTATGAAACACCCCTCTGACTATAATATGGAATGCCCCTCTACAGCTCCTTACCTTATAACGAGATTGGCGTGCGCGTCGCAGGTACTACGTGATGTCGCGCAAAACGCAGCTGGGCTGGTGTAGTGTGAATTTCGGACTTTTGAATAGCGAAAATGTGTTTAACCTTGGTATACATACTTGTCAATCAAGCAAAAGAATCAACATCAGCCCCCGTGTTTCTAAGAAATACTTTATCAATATCATTATCAATTGATGTGTGTATTCATTTAAATAGGTTACGCCATCTTACAGCGGTCTGTCAAACAGCTTTAAAGAAGTTGTCGTGGATCAGTCCCAAATCAGGTCAGAATTCCTTACTCTCACCTATCATTTGTCATAATGCATACTTAAAGGGAAAATACAACATTTGCAAACATCAAAAAATAAAACTACCAAATCATTTTGAAATACCTTGCTGGACTGTTAGTGAATGACAGTGTAAAGCATCCTGTAAAATCATGGCACCTGGTATACTGTCATTTTCAAGAAAAGTGGTATTTTTGTATCAATTTCCAACGCTGATCGGCCGACCAGCGTTGGAAAAAACTGGGTTTTTTTCAATTACTGGCCCCAGTTGACCATCGCACTTGTTTGCAATCAATTACACACCTATGAACGGGTACAAGCCAGCTAGACTGGTTCCCTGACCTTACAATTCCCCAATGTATGTAAACTGCTCTGTTTCTTCTTAAATGGAGTCAGGGAACCAGACTACAGGAAAACGATTGTTTTTCTTGGTTTTTATAGCATTTTTGAACCCAAAACCTCAAAAAAGTCAGTGTAACTATATTTGCTATATATTTCAACCCTCCAATTCCATCCATTTCTGAAAATTACAGCAAAAGCAAATGATGTATATTCCCTTTAAGAGCAGTACTTGAATTTCGAAAAACATGTTTCCAAGGTATGCCAGACATCATACATGCATCTAAGAAGAATAGCCAAAGATCAGGTCTGTTCTTGGCATCTGCAACCCTTGGAGTAGACTGGTTCCCGGTCCCTACATTATTTAAGCTGATAAAGGGGCGGGAACCAGTCTAGCCTAATAGAGCGTAATTATTTCATGTTCACAAATAAATAATGTATCCATAAACTAAGCGTGTGTATTGCTATCTAAACATTTGTATTGCTATAAAAATAAGTGTAAAGAAAATAAATAATACAATTTCGTACAAGGTGAAACTGAAAATTAGACAGCACATCTTTAGAAGCTACCCAAATGAACGGTCTTTTAGTTACTATTGTTCAGCTGTTATTTCAAACTTGAAGTGATGTGCGTATACTGTTATTGGGCAATACTTAGTTAAAAATGCGTTAATCTTAAAGCGTTTGTGTCCTCACAGGAAAGGCAGTGTGATCGTTCCACACACGGTCAGCTATGATTACGGAACAGCAACGACTGAAATCCGTGCATTACAGCCGCAGCAATTTTTCGCAGACACGGTGAAAAAACAGGTTGAAGCAGGCAGGATAGGCAGCTTAGAGATGGTACCAGACTTCGAAAGTGTAAAAGGTAGGGTGTATTTTTTTGGGGGGGGGGGGGTTAGGGGGTGTTTGATGATAAAAAGGAGTGGACTGAGAAATAGTCGGGCTTCAATGTAATATATAATTTCATTGAAGAAAACTCATTAAACACTGTAAATTATTTGTTTTCTGAATGTTGCACACTGTGTAGACAACGAATGTCCTAGGTACATTGACGGAAACTCTTCACCCTGTGAGCTACTCCGTTTATTTGTCTGTGTTGTTTTGCTTGCAGATACCACCAATTTCTGCACTGAAGAGATTAAGAACGCAATGCAGTGCAACAACAAACTGTCGGTCTACGAGGACAAAACAGACGACGGTTGCCAGTTGAAGTGCAGCTCACGATGCAGCACTGACGCCGTTTATTGCAATGGGGGAACATGTACGCACGATAACGCCGCAGGGGAAATTTGCAGGTGGGTTTTGTTGTTCATCTCAGATCAAGAGGTATTTGGGGCATTTTTTCGTACTGGAAAAATATGATTAAAGACTCAGTACATATGTGACCGGGGTTTCAAATGAAGCTTAGACAAACACCAGTTGGTCTCGCTGGCCGGGATCCTTGTCTGTTTATTCTCTGTAAAATGACAAAGACATGAATATACGTGTTGAGTTGTCGCCGGCAGACTGTCATGTCAAATGCTTAAAAGCTAAACAACAATAATTACAGAATTTCTCAAATCAAGTTCATTGGACAAACTCACGATAAATTCAAACAAATATCAGCCATCCTGGCTAATGTCACAAAGTTATTGACAGAAAAAAAAGCAATCGATACAAGAAAATGAAGAACAAAATGAGATATCGGAATATGCCCAAAAGTCTGGGCGGTGTCCGACATATTGGACATTACACTTAAGGCCCCCCAAAAAATAAGTCGGTCTCTGGTCAGCGCGCGCGTCGATTTTAATCATTCGCGTCTTTTTTTTTTTTTCCCAAAATTTTCCGCGGTAGCTCCAACAGCACCCCTATTTCCGCACCTGCTCATTTTTTTTTTACCAAAGAACACCAAGGAATGGGAAATTGCACCAAGGCAAATGATCGAAAGCACCTAGGCAAATTAAGGAGGACACCAATGTACACGAGGACACCAAAAAAGCAAAATAGTACCCCACCTTGTCTGTACAATCCAAGCTTGAAGAAAAAAAAAAAAAAAAAAAAAAAAAAAAGCCGTGTGGCCGCGTCAATTCCGGAACTTTGGTCTAATCAGAGACCTAATATATTTTTTTTTGGCCTAACTGTACAATTAATGTATCAAAAGCAGTGATTCCGATATATCAGTGTTTACAAGAAAAAGCGACAACATTTTGGAATCTTATGCAGCAAGTACTAATTTTACAGTATTACACAATTCAAATAAACTAAAGATATTGTTGTTTCGTCTCACTTCCTGAGAAACAACATCGTGAGTCAAAATCATACAAAAAGCCCAAAGTGAACCAAAATTATAGGGACAGGTCAAATGAATAATTATAGAGGAATGTCTCTCTAGTTAGAATATAATTAAACAACTAAGGAATATTGGCAATAAACAAAATCTCTTAAAGAAATGTTTTTGGAAATTTCATGGCTACGGCGACGCGCGCGCATACCAGAAACCGGAGACTTTTTTTTTTTGGCCGAAGAAAGCGAAGTTGAGACTGAGTTTTGTATTCTTTGGATTGATTGTTCAAAGGAAATTTTGTGGAGAATTTTTTTTTTTTTAATTTTGGTCTTTCCAGTAGCTGCCCGGATGGTAAGGAGGGTGCCCTATGCGAGGAGGATTCAATCAACATCCCTCTGATTGTGGGCCTGTCTGTGGGTCTAGGAGGCGGAGGCCTGTTGATCATCATCGGCCTCATCGTCTACTTCATGTGCTGCAGAAACAAGGAAGGCAAAGCGACTGTGACAGCCGCAGGGGACGAAGAAGGGTGAGTCCTAATAATGTGACAATGACGATATGTCAGTGATGACAATTACAAGGCTAATTCTGAGGGTGAGACACTATTGGTCTCCCTCAGCCAGAGTAGGGCGAGTCATCGCATGAACAGATCGTAATGTGCCACCGCTATTAACAATGACGTTGATTGCAATGACCTTAGGGCCAGATCTAAGGGGACACTCTTTGCCCCCCCCCCCACCCCCGACAAAAAAGGGAGTCAGGAAAATGAACAAATCATAATGGGAGACTGACGATAGCAATGACGATGATTCAATGATATTAGTGACATCTGAGGGGACACTTTTTGCCCCCCTCCCCTCCCCTACAAAGAGGGAGAGTTAGGAAAATGAACAAATCATAATGGGAGACTGACGATAGCAATGACGATGATTCAATGACATTGGTGATGGATAATTGAATCTATAGGGACACTTTATGTAGTACTCCTTGGAGTTTATGTTATGTTGTCTCATCAGAATTATCAAAATTTGGAGAGATACTGTTTCTAGAATTCTGTAAAAGGGTCGTAGGTAATTTCCTGTTTTTTGAAGGTTCGACAGGTATTACATACATGTATATGACATTTGGGAGAATAGTAGACACATATTGACTGGCAATGAGGTCACTAGTGCAGATCTATGCACCCCGACCACAGAAGGGTACCTATTTCCTGAATAGGGACCCTCTTGTGGTCAGTCACAGCTAGACCCTCGGGATGTCTATTGACTGGCAATGAGGTCACTAGTGCAGGTCTATGCAACCCGACCACAGAAGGGTACCTATTTCCTGAATAGGGACCCTCTTGTGGTCAGTCACAGCTAGACCCTCGGGATGTCTATTGACTGGCAATGAGGTCACTAGTGCAGATCTATGCAACCCGACCACAGAAGGGTACCTATTTCCTGAATAGGGACCCTCTTGTGGTCAGTCACAGCTAGACCCTCGGGATGTCTATTGACTGGCAATGAGGTCACTAGTGCAGGTCTATGCAACCCGACCACAGAAGGGTACCTATTTCCGGAATAGTGACCTGCTTGTTGTCAGTCCCTCGGAATGCATAAATACTCGCCGAGTATTGACAAGCTGGACATTTTACAAACTAGTTCCCGGGGCGGAGTCTGGACAATTGTACGATAGTGACTTGCTTTCTCTCTCTCCTCCAAGTATGGTCAATGATGCTGATGTATACAACTGATTGATAGAAACTGGTCTCATCTATTCAATTTTGAATGTTTTCCACCATTTTTCCTTTAATATCACAGTGGGCATTCAAATAACGCGTTGGCCTTGGACGACAGATAAATCATGTAAGGTAGGTTATAAATCCTTGTTGTATTGTTGCGAAGAGTTATGAAGTAAATATTAACTTTCGTATTCATAAATACCTAAGACAGCTTACCCATTCCTATGGAATGAGAGCCCGGCACATGGGTGGCTTCAAACTGCTGATAAAACACCGGCTGGTTTCATAAACACCTTATTCCTGCACTGCTGAGTTCTGCGCCACATTGAGCAGTATGCACCGCCCGCATGCCAATCTCCATAAAAGGAGATTTTTTAGCACCACGCGCGTGAGGCACATATCATAGACATGGCCACAGGGGTTTTTCACGAAACACGAGGTGGAAATTGTTTGAAATTTGTGGATTTTTGACTTATTTTGACTTTTTTACCAAAAGGTTTTTATGAATGAGAATAAAAATATGCTTGGCCGATGTGAAACAAGCACATTTAAGACCGGCTCGAGGCCTGGCTAAGTACAAAGGTAGTTGTTTGAAACCGGTCAAGACAGGTTTCACGAAACGTGAGGTAAACTGTTGAACAAAATCATTGGAAATTTGTGAATTTTTGACATTTTGACTTTTTGACCGAAAGATATTTATGAAAGGTAATAAATGTGTGCTTAATAAACAAGTACATTTAAAACCAGCTAGGGGCCTGGCTGCGTACACAGTGTTCAACTTATCAGATCGACAGTAGATAAAAGTATTCCCCCCCCCCCACCCTAATATTTATTCATCATGTTTATTTACAGTGTGATGGAGAAAATATGCAAAGCAAGTGGAAGTGATTTCATGAACTCAATGCTGATTTCGTCAGTTCTTCGACACACTTAAAGCTACAGTCCATCATTTGTAATTTGTGCATTTTGTTCGTTTGAAGCAACAAAAGTGCTCCAAAATCTAATGAAGGATACTGAACAACTAACCTGATGAAGATTCAGCTCAGCTTCAGCTGTACATTCCGAGAAAAACAGCATTCTAAGATCTCAATTTCAAATCAAAAGTTACTGAATCATGTTTTGAAATGTTTTGAATTGCAGCTATACGCGACGTCGCGCACTGATCCGACGAATTTCAACAACCGCGGGCGCGTGTGCGTCGTTCCAATACTTGTGCGCGCTGCGCTGAATAACAAAACGAACTACTAATTTAAATTTTCCTACGGTGCTTCTTAAGAATCACCGTTGGAAATGCCTTCTTTCGTTGATTACTTCAAAATGACAGCTTCCCAGAAAGAATAATTTCACAGGGAGTTTAGTCCCCTTACTATCTTTCAACCAAGTTTGTTTTTCAACAATAATTACGCCAGTTACTTTTCGGATGGCTGCAAATGATGGACTCTAGCTTTAATTTTCTGAAATAGATTTAAATCTAAGTTACATTTCCGCACCTATTGTGGAACCCGGCGACCAGAATTAGAAGCTTTTACTGTGGTGGTGTCACGCTCACGCGCATGCTGCACGCATTCTTAAAGACGAGGCGCATGCGCATTTTGGTATTCCTATTGGTTGAAGGAGCCCGGAGTGCGTGCATACTACCTGAGCGCAACTCGCACGAGCCTGGCGCCACCGCAGAAAATGGCTGCCGTCGGATTTGTCTGTAATTTGAATTCTGCCTTTTAAAGTGACTATTAACCGAATTAAATTGTGGGGTGTTCCAAAAACTGAAATTCAAATTCTATTGTCGTTTGCATTAAAAAACACACTCATGTCTTTGAAAAAAAAACACCTCAAAATTGATATTAAAATGGTCTGAAAACCTTTGATTTTTGCCACTGATGACAGTCTCATTAAAATGACGAGGATCTTTAGACAATAGAAAAAGACTTTTATTGTGAAGAAGTTGCATGAAAGTTTTGCTTTATAGTTAATATCAGCCGTTGGTAGCATTGACATTTTTTTTTATTTTTGGGTGTGTCTTAATTTTGTGTTGGTTGTTTTACTCCCGCTAGAATTTACTCATTTGTGCCTTTAAATGCAAACATTCTGTGGTTTTGGTATTGATTAATTCACTCTGAAATAAGTTTTGGTTTCACTGTGGTATTTGAAGTGAAATCTTGTATGATGCATGCATGGTGTATATATTTGATGTGATCTTAAAAAAAAACCTCCACGTGGTGAATGCTATTTGGAGAAAATGACCATGAAGCCAGCTATTTCTGTACTCAAAGCGCCATTTTAAAGAATCGTTAACAACTTATATCTTAGCTAAAAACTTACAATCGGCTAATTTGGTTTTAGTGTCTTAAATGTGAAATATATTTTACAAAGTGACAGGTTTCTGCAGGTTGCATCTTATGGTATATTTTACGGTATATGAGCAAATGCTTACGAATGAACTGTACATTATAATTGCGCTTGAAAAGTGAAAATAATTTTTATATATGACTGATATAGATTTATACTTCAAATTGGTCAATTATAAATAACTGTATTAAATAAATGAATTTGTTGTATGATATTACAATGAATGATACCAAATACAAAGCCAGACTAGAATAGCTTAATAGAGCATGACCAAACTGTTTTTTACACAGTCCAAATTTGACTCTTCAGTAGGCATGTACTATGCCAAAATAAAAACAATCGCTGATCCCCCCCCCCCCCCCCCCCCCCCCCCCCTGAGGTGTAGTAAACAAATAGGTCAAACTGTTCCTGTGTATTGTCCATGCGTCATTCTAGACTTATAGTTTTCAGTTTAACACAGCGGTACACATGTTCCAATACTATAGGATATTTAATCCCTTTAATTAAGGCATCATTTTTGTAAAATGTTTATAGCAAGTATGTTAATCTTTATAGAAAAAAAAATTATTTTTGTTGATGATTTGGATGTTTAATATAAATTTTCGAAATAGCTCGCATGTGTGAACTTTTAATGATATCATAACTAGCTGTAGATAAAGCGTTGGTTAGCATTAGTGTGCATAATACAAAGGAACCTGCCTTATTACACGAAATGGCGTTATTTTTGCATCCACTTTATAAAAAAAAATGTATTCAGTTGATGGCGTTCATAAAGTTTTTAAACTGTATGGATTGTGGTCAGGAGTAGATTGATTTTACCTGTATATGTCTCAATATTCAACTTAAGACTGGATGTTTATTTTTAGACCAGTTCTGTCAGTAGTCTCACAGCTTATTTTGACGCTCAGGTAGTTTAGACATGTTTCATTTTTCGCATTGCAGTGTAGTTGTTTTATTGTTTTCATCGTTTTACTTTCACGAGACTTATAAAGAAAATGAAGTTTCATTGGATGATACGTGTGTTATTTACAGATTGATGATAATAAATTTCAGGGAAGTAAAATAAACTGGGAAGACAACGGGTCATTCTTTATACATCGAGGGCCGGTCCTCACATCACGTGACTGTGCGAACCGAATTGCCGGAAAGTTGACTTCTGAAACTCTTCGTGTTGACAGGTGTCACAGTCAAGTCATCAGAAGTCAATCATCAGTCTGCCTGTCCCAACTTGACGTCACAAGTATAAACAGTAACAAATTCCTTTGTCATTGCGCATTCTGTTCTTGTGATCTTTTAATTTGCTTTGATTGGCTGGACAAATCTGTAAAGCATCGTAGCGGCACGTGGCATACGCCAAAATTAGTTTGCCAGTTATATGGAAAACTCGAAAGCACTTGGAGAGCGCAAACCTCCGCCAAGGCTAAACAATTCCCCGCCATATTGTCAGTACACCCAAAAGAAAAACGTGTACATGTACTCGCATAAATGGTCAAGAATCCTTAAATAGGAAAATCCTGGATGCAGACCCGGATCCGGATCACTTCGAAAATCTAATCGATTTGTACTTGTACCAAGGACCACTCCTAAAATAAATCACGAAAATCCGTCCATAACTTTTTGAGTTATTTATAACTTCTTGAGTTATCTTGTTATTAAACAGACAAACCAACTAACCAACAAACTCACCAAATCCGATGAAAACAATAATATTCCCCGCGCCTATTGTTACATTATGTAGGAATGAGGATCTTAAACCTGTCTGGTGCAGGAAATTGTTGATTTTAGATGTAACACTTAACAAAAGCAGCCATTTTGGATCTAAAACGTTACGATAAAAAAAAATCAAATTTAAAATTGTTTGCAATTGTATCGATCAACTGTTGTTGCGTCTTGGGCGGATTGACTAGGAGATGGCTGCGATGGCTAATCTGACCATTGTCCAATGAGTGGGGAGAACCGCAATGTGTCTTTCTTGCAACTACGGCAGAAAACGGTTCATATTGCCAAAGGCTTTGGTCCATGTATTATGTGGACTTCCGCACTCCAACCACCCTTAAAAGGGGATTTGCCATTGGATTGTGGGTTATAATTGTTCATCAAAAGGGAAAACGTGCTATCGCACTGGCATTTTTGAGATGATTACGGCAGACACAAGTAAATGGGCGCTATTTGGAGGGGTACATTGGGTATATATACAAAAGATTAGCGCACTCCTATTGTATCCACCAATTTTACCTTTAAAAAGGGCCTATACATTCTTGACGGTTTTAGTGGGCTGGGCAGAACTTGTCTTATTTTTTTCTTTTTTACTAGAGTCAGTAGACCTGTCTCTTCATTACATTTGAAGCAAGATGTGCCACGGAGGGACGCCCCCCCCCCTTTTATTGTGTTGGTCATGGCGTTCCCCGAATCTCAGGAATTCTTTGAAGATATGGTGGGATGTGTTGGGTAACAATAGTCTATAGGGTGTGGACAACTGGGAGTACCCGCTCTGTCTCACAACATGCGCGGTATATTCTCTTAATTTCTAGCAAAGGGGCCGGGGTTGTTTTCATCCCTAGTTTCTTAAGTTATAGAAAAGAAACAAAATAGGCCGCTTTCAACGTGTATGCTGTAAACGGCGAGGTGTTCTTAGCACCGTAACTTCATGGCAAATCCAGTTGATGGTTGAAAGTAGTGCCGTCCCGTACACGCACGCTTTGGAGAGATGCAACAGTTACATGTACAGGGTGAGTAAAAAAAAAAAAAACAGGGAAACCCAAATGGTGCCCTCTATTTTTTGTAAAGATGTTCAGCATGTAGTGCTTTTCAGCTCTAAGATTCTAGGATCTACAGTTAATAAGTTTCTTTTAGTGACATAATCATTCAAATCGCCCATGTACTTTTCCAGTTATGGGATTTTTAACACAAAAACTGGGTTTTTTTAAGCTTGTCCACGGATCACAATAAAGGCAAGTGATATTTCAGCAAAACGAAAACTATTTACATAACATGAAAAAAACACATCAAAACACTCTCATAGCCATAGTAACTGGCACTTATCACGTTTATTTAGAAACCTGCTGCTTCCACTGTTAAAATAACATGCTATATAATGTCAAGAGTTTATAGTCTTGCCCTGTCTTCTAGTTGGCTACCCCGGAGACTTATGGGATTATTCTGATATCATTTTCAGGATATACGACTGGTTTCATTTTTACTGAAATATCATGTGATCCGTGGACAAGGTTTAAAAACAGTATTTGTGTTCAAAATTCCATAACTGGAAAAGTACACGAACGATTTGAATGATTCTTTCACTAAAAGAAAGCTTCTTAATTGGGCTTTCATATCGTAGATTTGGAAAACGCTAGGGGGGCCTACATGCAGAACTTCTTTTAAAAAAAATAGGGGGCACCATTTGGGTTTCCTTTCATTTCGCCCTGTAGTAGGAATACACACTATCGATGTGATATTTGGCAATGTGATCGTTATTCCTCCATGATGTCTTTGGTGAGTTTCAACGTTATAATACCTAAAGCTACTTTTAGTTTCCACAAAACAAACAAACATGTTTTCACTTCGTTTAAAGCTATAGTCCATCATTTGCAGCCATCCGAAAGTAATTGGCGTAATTATTGTTGAAAAACAAACTTGGTTGAAAGATAGTAAGGGAACTAAACTCCCTGTGAAATTTTTCTTTCTGGGAAGCTGTCATTTTGAAGTAATCAACGAAAGAAGGCATTTCCAACGGTGATTCTTAAGAAGCACCGTAGGAAAATTTAAATTAGTAGTTCGTTTTGTTATTCAGCGCAGCGCGCACAAGTATTGGAACGACGCACACGCGCGCGCGGTTGTTATAATTCGTCGGATCAGTGCGCGACGTCGCGTATAGCTGGAATTCAAAACAATTCAAAACATGATTCAGTAACTTTTGATTTGAAATTGAGATCTTAGAATGCTGTTTTTCTAGGAATGTACAGCTGAAGCTTAGCTGAAACTTCATCAGGTTAGTTGCTCAGTATCCTTCATTAGATTTTGAACTCTTTTGTTGCTTCAAACGAACAAAATGCACAAATTACAAATGATGGACTGTAGCTTTAAATAATTTTCTGTCCAATATCGCACTGCTGGCCACGGAGTGCCAATTAAGTGTCCTCTATGTATACCTATCTCACTGACTGACTGTCACTTGTCCTGGTCTGGTCTGGGCCCAGCTGCGATTTTTTCCCCCCAAACGATGATCCGTTTCCGATCGGTCCATTACATGGATATCTAATGCCTTGTTCTCCACAACACAACCCAAGATTAGGCTTTACGTCTTGTGAGAAATGTTTCTTCCTCACGTCAGTTTAAAATGTATATTTATATAATGAGAAGAAGTGAAAAACGCTCACAGAGATTCGAACTCAGATCACCTGATTCGAAGCCAGGACTATTTCCAACCAGTCCACGAATCAGCCTCGTCGGTGATTTTAACACCATTATTCCTTGTTACATAACTTATTCGCTAAAGTCCTGGAAATCATGAATATGCATACCGCACAGAGAGTGAGCGAGAGGAGAGAGAGCGTCCTCTTTTGATATTGTCCGATCTCGTTTGGGAAAAAAATATTTCGCGGCCCGGCTACTGGGGCCCTCAGCTTTACTTGGCTTGGATCATGCCATAAATTTGGGGTACATTGTTTTCTCGTGTCCATGTTACATCTGATATACGATTCTGTAAATTCAGGACACATTTTTAATACCTTCTCTCTCCAAGAGTGCTTATGCAAACTTAGTACCTGCCAAACAAACAAAAATTATCTGAAGTCAATTTTAATTTTTTTTTTATACTTACACGTAAATTATACATAACGATCAGGTAAAACTGAGACTCAAAACTCATGTCACCCATTTGGATTCTATGGAATGACCTATTTCTAGTCTTGTTTTAGGATGTAAGTATCTGTATTCAATAGTGGACCTTGAACTTGAGGACAATAAGGCCCACGATTTTCAGAGGCCCACGTTTGGAGAGTAGGGCCTACATGTCAAAAGCAATTCTTCTCAAAAGTTAACAATATGACAATTGATCCACGATGTAAGTTTACACGTCAGAAATTTAAGATATGGCGGACACTATAGGAGAGTGCTACAACATCAACGAGTGGGCAAATTTGGCTAAATACAAAAGTGGTTGTAGTTTTTTTTGTGAACAAACGTTATTGAAACCAAACCAAACAAATTCTTTATATAGACTGCCATCGCATCATTATAAAGAGTATATCTTAATAACTTCTTATTTAAAATATATATACTGTATATATATAAACTATGAACCCGTTGACAAAGTCAAATTCTTTCTATAAGGCAAAGTCAATAAAAACGTTTTTGCTGATACTTTTGTGTCCAAAGCAGCCGTCATCTCCGCAAGATTTTAACCTTTCATATATACAATTTTGGTGGAAACAAATAAAAAGACAAAAGGGGAAAACGGTGGGCGGTAAAAAAAAAAAAAACAGGGCACGCAGACGAGAAATTAGTTGATTATTTTGTTTTGCCTAAAATAATGGAAATTACAAGTAATTTATAACACTATTTTCCCTCTCAATTAACTTCATTACTAGTTTTTGTCATTAATTTTGACTAAAGTGCATAACCTCGACGGCAAAATCTGGTTTAAACAAAACAGATTTGGTCAATTCATATGAAATTTCCAAGTTGATGTGGCAATTAATTCATTGCAGTTAAATTATCATGGATATTTGAAATCGTGTTTTGATAGGTTTTACCTCGGTGGTTATTTAGGTGTTTTTAAGTCCTGCCGCTTCTCAATGAAATGAAACGAAGAAAGTCCATGCTGTACAATGAGAACACTGTATGGACTTGGGCCCATGAAGTGAATATTTCTTCGGTTCTTATTTTGTGCTACTTTCTAATCTTCTTAAGTGTATGAAAACTATAATTGACACCCCTTTTGGTTATTTTTTTACTGAAAAGTGCACTTCTTTATACACATTGAAAATTGTCCATGCTTTTCCAGACAACTGAGGGCGCAGTTGTCATTTCAGTAAGACACTGTTAATATTAGGTGTTTTCTGTTGAAATTGTGCACCCCAAAATTTCCTCATTGAAAACATTTGTGAGAAAAGTTTGCTCACTGGCTTATTGCCATAAACTGACACAACAACGATCGAAAATTCTGGCATCTTTTTGTGCACAAACCAATTGCAGCATTGAGGTTTCTGCCTATGACATCACACTTTTGCTCATGAACAGGGGAATTTGCATTAGCATAAAAACCAAAAAGGCACCAAGTACCCTTGAATACGGCAAATGAAAATTTGAACCTTTGAACCTTTTGTGTTAGTATTGCCGCACAATTCGATTACAATATTTTCCTAAGAATTCAAATGTCTGCTATCGGTATCAGTTGTAATATCCAAGGTATATGGCATTCGTTTGACCATTACTGTCGACTTATCTGTAACTTTTCGTCTCTTCCTGTCTTCGTGAGTCTTATAAGGCGGCCCTACCCTCTCCCAAGTCCGAGGACCGTAGGATGACTGCTTTTGCGAGAATAAGGGGGAGGATTTGGTCCTTGCTGCCCCGTGCTTGGAGCTCGGCGCGCCCGTAGTCCAATCTCCATCCGGTTTTGTCCGGATATTGGGCAAGAACGTCCCGAAACTGGATTTCGGATTTGGGCGCGGTTCCTTCCCGCCTTCCGTGGACCGATAGGCCAGCTTGTCCAGGCGATGCATCCGCAGACAGGCGGTGCAGTATCGCTGGCCCACCACGTCACAGTAATGACGGGCGGTACCTTGACAACTCTGAGTCGGCTTGTCGGTTCCTAGCCTCCCCTTGGCAAGCGAAGGGAGTGACAAGTCGTGGCGACCGGATCTCCTGTCTGCGTTTTTCTTTCCAAACTGATGAAGAAACAGACTGCTCTTATCCCGGTAAAACGCATCGATGATCTTTTTCTCAGGTTTGGGCTCCAGCTTTCGCTGAGCAGGGCCGCCTCTGCTGCCCGGATGCGTCAGGTCTAGAGTCCGCTGAAAGGCGTCCCCGTAGATCCCATTCTTGTCCAGTCGATTGTTCTCCTCTTGATTTCCAAACTTCGGTTCCAGGGACTTGGCGGTGACCTTGAGGGGTTGTTTCAAATCCTGAACAGATTTCTTCTCTTGGTCGGCGGTGTGGTGTCGCCGAGAGCCCTTGGGGACCTTCCACATTTGCTCCTTCTTCCGGACGGGTTTCTTGTTGCGCATGCGCGAGTTGCCGATGATGGTGAACTTGGAGCAAGGGATCTTTGGTAAGTGTTCGATGCTGACCTCCACCCCGTGGTCCATGACCGACATGAAACCCTCTCCAGTTTCCATGACACCTTGTTAATCGGCACTCTATTCAGAGAATGTCAGAGATTTCCTGCGAATGCCGAGTGATGGTCACACACTTCTCCGTCCATCCGATGAGACGTTCCATGGTAGGATTGCACTGAAACTACAAAATCCAACCAGTTGGCCCATCACGTAAAGTGAAACTTATGGTGGTGTTCAAAATTATTCTCCGAAGTACATGTACATGTAAATGACTTGTACATCATTTCCATAAGTTCTTGAATCTGAGGGTGAAAGCACGCAGCTTACCGTTTGAGCACATTTTGTGCAAAATACTGTTGGTTGTCAGTCAAAGGTTGAAGCTCATGGATGCCTCGTTGTGTTCTTGGTGTTTGTATCACATCCACTTAAATACACGCCAGTGAATATTTGCCCCATTTTACTAGAAAATGAGCTCTCGGGCTGGCATATCGGCAAAAACACCCGACCTGCATGATGTATGAGCATGCAGGGTTGGGGAGGTTAAATCCAATCAAGATGTGGTGCACTCTGACAACTCAGCCAAGCATTCAGTCACGTCGACATGTCAATGGAGTCAATCAAATTATGGTTTGTGATCCGGCAGGGTTCATAGTCAGATTGAAGTCGTGATATATGCAGCAGTGCCTATAAAAAAATATGGTTTGATAACAGCTTGCACACAGGTATGACTTCAATTTTCATCGAAATTTGTTTGGCGTTTCCTTGACAACTGGTACAGGTTGGAGTTCCACTGTCAAGCAGTTTAGGCCAACTAAGAGAATGAATGTCTGCTTGAGTTAGTTGCTTTTCACCTGACTAATCGAAGTTGATAAAAATTCGCATCAAATCTTCCTTGCGGTGAAAGTCAGTCAGTTTCGCTTCCGATGTTAGGCAACTTGTCTGGTCGTCATTATCGACAAGATGAGAACCGTAAATGCTTCCGTGGCGTTAGGGTATTTCTTAAGGGGACGGAAATCAACCGGTGGCAAAATCTGAAGTTCCATTAGTGGTACGCATTTCCATTGAGAGAAATCGAATTGAAGATCACATTCGACTGAACGATGTCCCAAACGCGTCGACTATCATGGAAGTCTCTTTCAAAACAGTGCGATGAAGCTTGTGATGAAACTTGTACGACTGCCTTGCCTGAGATATTTGAACTGGTTTGTGATTCTCTATGCGCCAGTTTCTAAGCACACGGCCTCATTACTGGTAATATCCACGGGCACCGAGCAACACTGATTCACCGGCACAGATCGTCCTTTGTACCTGCCCGACGAAGTGTTATGAAGGCTGGTGGGCTCAACCCTCGGACATAATACGTCAGCAGCCCAAAATCTAAACTACCAGTTGACATAAGGCTCAGGTAACAATGAGAAAGACAGCTCTGCTAACAACCGGCTCTCGTGAAGCACTTCAAGTGATCTGGTCCGGCCCTTTGTGCCCATTGTTAAGGGACAAGATTTGGCGGTCTACCGGCTTGTCAAAATGTAAATTAAGACAAACAACCTGGCTGGGTTTGTAGTGATGGGTTGGGAATTGTGAACCCCATCAACTTGTATAAATAACAAATTGTTTGTCATGAGACATTTGGGCTATACACCTGAAGGAGGTGAACACTCGCCCAGAGCAAATGCTCAACATATAAATTGTATGGATTGTTGGAATAAGTGTTTCCTGGAACGGGATAAAGATGATTTTAAATCTTATGTAGTGTGTTGTTGCTGTTGTTGTTGTTGGGGGGTTTTTTTTGGGGGGGGGGGCGAGTTTCATCCTGGACCTGTAACCAGGAAGGTTTTTGAAGAATTACATAATAAGTGACTACATGCATGAAGTCTCTTACAACCTACCTTTATTATGCCTTTATAAGGCGGAGTTAAAGGGCGGTGGTTTTTTTAACTTTGCACACATGAGTAAACTAAATTTGGACATCTGCTGTTACTAAATAAAAGTAACAAAGAACAACCTCATTATGAGATACCTGTACCTGCACATGGGTTCTATAGCAATGTGTAGGCCTATACGTATAAAAGCATAACATGAAACGTTGAAGGTATCATTAACATTCATTTCGTACTTTTTGCCGTTCGATAAGTAATGAAAATCCGTTGTTCTCGCTACTTCTGAAAACTCAACTTGATATCTTACATAATCCCGGGATCTACCGTTATTTCGTTTTACCGTTTTGTAAAACGCCCGGTCAAACGGTATTAGGTCACAAAAAACAATGACCTTTTTGTTGTTTTTCTTAATTGTTGAAAGCGATAAACGGTTAGTTGCTTCATTTTCAGAGTGTTGTTTTACAAGAACAGGACAATGAAAAACGGTCAATAGTCCTGACGACCATTTTTTGATTTAGGTTCGGCAATTAAGCAATGCACCTAGGAATGTTAATGCGTCCTCATGGGATCGAGTCATTGCCTGGGACCCAAATTGCCCTTCTCACATTTCGTTCTCACGACATAGTTTTCGAACTGGCTATTGAAGAGCCGCGCCGAACTCCAATTTACTTCAAATATCTGCAACTTCTTCAAACGTATTACCATCCTGTATCCATTGTAAAAAGTAATGTCCTCCATTGAAGTTTTCCAGCGCCATTTTTGCTTGCAACTCTTAAACCCCACCAACTGAATCGCCTGAGAAGGGGGTCAGGGTCACGCCAGGAATCACACCACGCATTATGCCGAGGTAACACTTTTTCATGTAAAGCATGGTTCCCCTCCATCCCCCTTGCCCAGCACCACAAAATGCACCACGGACTGCACACTATGACACTGAAAAAAAAGGAAAAAAAAACAGTCTGTATTCAATACCGACCGTTTTGCTGTTTTTCAAAGTTATTTGTGTAAAACTTTAAAACAGAAATCATTGATCGTTATGCTGTAATGAATTTTATTAAACTTATAAAACAGAGAAACCGTATTTATCCTAATACCGTTTGACCAGTGGCGTAGCCAGGAATTTTTTAGTGGGGGGGGGGGGGGGGGGGGGGCTGGGACATTTCATGGGGGGCGTCAAGCAGGGGCGTCAATCGCTTCTCAAAAGTGGGGGGAGGGACATACCTTGATCATAACTGATGCAAGCGCGAAGCCCTTACGGCGTGGGGTTCGGGGCCCGCTTAAGGGCCCCGAAAAAAATTGGATTCTAGATGTTCTGTGGTGTGATTTGAAGCAATTTCTTACGACTTTCCTCTATGCTTTAACTAATATTTTCTTGGCAAAAGATAATTATTTGAACATCGTTTTCGAGGTTGGAGACATTGAATCGGCTATCGGTATTCTGAGCTATTGGCGTGGGGTTCGGGGCCGCTTAAGGGCCCCGAAAAAAATTGGATTTTCGATGCTCTGTGGTGTGATCTGAGGCAATTTCTTACCACTTTAACCAATAATTATCTTAGCACAAAAGATAATAATTTAAACATAATTTTCGAGGTTTTCTCAGCTAAAGGCATAAGAACATTTTGTGAACATTGTTTTCGAGGTTGGAGTCATTGAATCAGCTACCAGAATTCTGAGCTATATGCGTGGGGTTCGGGGCCCGCTTAAGGGCCCCGAAACATTTTGGATTCTAAATGCTCTGTGGTGCTATCTGAGGCAATTTCTGACCACTTTAACCAATATTTTCTAAGCAAAAGATACATTGTAGTACATAATAGGGCCCATGGCGTCATGTAGATCAATGATAATTTTTTTAGAAACTCAAAATCTCATTTGGGGGGGGGGGCGACTGGGGGGGGGGCGACAAGGTTTCATGGGGGGCGGTCCCCCCCCGCCCCCCCGGTGGCTACGCCACTGCGTTTGACCGTTTTACCAAACTGTAAAACGACAAAACGGTCAATGGTTTGTTTACTGTTTTTGTTTTTGAGGAAATGCAAAACGGTAAACCGAAATAACGGTATGTCCCGGGATTGATGATGTACTTCTGCAGAACGAATTCTGCAGAAGTAACATTTTTGGAATTATCGTAATGTTTTATTTGTAATGTCGACAATTGTCTTATATCCTCGACAAATCCTCTTCTTTTTTTTTGGACAAAAAAAAATTAAAAAAAAAAAAAAAAAAAACCACGGGACGGCCCTCTGTACTAAGAGTTCCATGTTTCACCCAGGCAGCGCGATCGATGGGTACAGGCCTCAGAGAGTTCCGCGTTTTAAACAGGCAGAATGATGTACGGTATGTACAGTAATGGGTCCGATGCTGTGGGAGGGGGCATCTTTATCGCTACCGAACCAACATTAAAAATGATCACAATGTTTTAATTTTAATGTGGATAAGTGTATTATGTCCTCAACAACTCCTGTGATTTTTTTCTGTGCAAAATTCACACGGGAAGACCTTCAATAATAAGAGTTCCGCGTTTTACCAACTCAGGTTTTTGGGCAAATAGGCCTCATGCACGGTATGTACAGTATACGTGTAATGGGTCCGATGCTGTGGGAGGGGGGCGTGTTTATCGCTACAGAACCAACATTAAAAATGATCACAATGTTTTAATTTTAATGTGGATAAGTGTATTATAATTATCCTCAACAACTCGAAGCCCTTACGGCGTGGGGTCCGGGGCCCGCTTTTTTTTTTAAACCTTCAAGTTCATGGCCCAGAAAATTGTCTTATATAGCAAAGAATTTCAGGGTACACAAATTGTGATTTGTAGGAATTTTTCGAACTATATTTTATACCGGTCTGCACCCATAAGCTGAAGCCGTAGTTGGCATCATATTTTGCCCCCCCCCTCCCCCCCAAAAAAGGCAGAAAACACCCCATTACATAAAGAAAAGGCATGTTTAGGAAGTACTTTGTTATTTTGTGCAGTGTTGGAACTTCCAGTTTGGAAACCATCCACGCGTCATGTTGTAACATTAGGCCTAAAGAATTACCTTACTTCTAATAATGATACAAAAGTTAAGCATTAATCGAATGTACTTGTATTTAGTATAAATAATATCACGGCAAACTTGTTTGCGAGCGGGTTTTGTATCGATCTTTTGTAGATTTATCATGACCCTGTTTGAGCGTGCCGTTCTATTCTTTAAACAAAAGATTCCGTAATAATTCGTAAGTATCGTAGAGTACCCCAAATTTGCGCTTACAAATATTCGCGCAACCAACTTTCTGGGCTCGTATCTTGTTTCCACGCAAAACCGTCGTCAATATGTTATTCCCATATTCTGGTACATAGTTTCAACTTTTTACTATTTTGTTTTTGAAAAATCTATGTTGGGGATTCTACGTACACATCCTTACTCGACATGTTATGACTTTATAAGCGACGACTTATTAGTCTGGCAGCTAGGTGGAGTTTCAATACCAATTTGAGCACAAAAGGTTTTGTGGTATGTCGGGGAGTATAGTTCTGAAATGGCCATTCTTCAATTGCCTTAGGTCGGATCAAGTGGGTCAGTGGACTTCGGTAAAAAGTCAAACATTAAGAGTTTAATTAACATGTCGCGCACAGGTGCGCTTTTTTGGATTAAAGTGTTGAGACTCCCCCATGAGACCAAAAACGCAGCTCAAGAATGGAAGGAGTCGGATAATTTTTTTTTTTTAAATTAGGGTCATCGTCCACAGACCGCTGGGTCCGGGTATCGAAACGGACGTCGTTGCATTTTTTTTGGTTTCCTATACACGCGCTCATTCAATTAGGGTTAATAAGAAATGAGAATAAAAGAAATGGAGAGGTTCCTATTTTTAAATCCTAATATGAAACACACGCAATTAAAAAGAGCTGTTTCGGGGAACTTCGTTACCAAAACAGCAAATTCTGAGCGGACTACTTTTCGTTAGTTGCACTCCCAAAACAAACTGCGCGTAGGCTTGACCGTTAAACTTGAATAGCGCCCTCAATCAACTAAAAGTAATCACGCAACCCAATCGTCATTGCACACTCACACTGTACAATTATTATGTAATCATTTACCATTCTTTCTAATCACAACAGCAAAGAACCCCTTTATCTATCTTAATCCAAATATGAACACACGTATCTAGCAGGAGCTGTTTCGGCGAGCTACGTCGCCGAAACAGCTAATTTTGCTCGAACTACTTTTCGTACTTTTACCCTAAACCAAACCTGCGTAGGCTTGACCGTTAAACTTGCATAGTGCCCTCAATTGTATTGACTGAGAGTATCACCACAAGTAATCGTCACTGAACAATGTACTCGGTAATAGAGTTCTTTTCAATTGCTACAGTATACCAAGGAATTCGAACACACCTTACTTTCTCTTCCAATATCGGGCGTTACACTATTGACAGCGCACTCTGTTCCTAATTTTTTTTTTTTAGCGCGTTCATTGTTACGCCGAATTGCCTATTCAACTTCGCTCTCGATGTAGGAACCAATCCTCTCTTAAACTATTCTTCTTTTGTTTCTTTTCTCGCAATTAACCATTCGTTTCACGTAGCGCGACCGTTCAGTACCGGTACCGGT